CGCTCGAACCGTGTTTAAGAATAGGTACAACTATTGTCCTCATAAAATCCTTAGGCAAATAACAATGTGACAAACATAAATTATAAAATTTAGTAAGCATAGTATGTAACAATTGACCTCCATAGTATACATGCTCCACGCTAAGACCATCGTGCCCAGGAGACTTACCTTTTTCATATTTTTTAAACACTGAATTAAACAGTCTGTCGTTATAGTGAAGTTTGCGCTCGGTAGGTATTCACCGACACAGTGCTCCGAGCGCGGTGAGTCATGCACAGGGCCGCCGCTTACACAGTTACCTGCTTGGAAATGCGACGCGAACATATCAGCTATTTTACCCGTGTCCTGTAGCGCTACCATGAGTTGCTATCGTAAATTCTCATTACTTTACCGCAGTCGATAGCGAATAAACGCACTTCGAATAGTATTCGATAGAAGTTGTACCATGAGTCACATTTACATTTACTATACTCGCTAACGTTAACTCGAACATTCGAATAGTTTTTGTTACGTGACCGTGTATTGCGCCTAACTTCACTCCAAATGAAACTGTCTCGTTCTATTTATGCTGAATAGAGTGAGAAAGGATGACTTTGGGCAAAAAAACTGGCTATTTAGATCTTCAAATTTAAATGTAGATAAAACCCTACTAATTTTAAGCGTCATTGATCAGTCTCATAACGCGAAGTGTAACTGATTATTGAATTTATTCGGTTATTTCCGTGTTGAGACAAATCATTGAGTATTTCTGTTTCTTAACTGGCGGTCGTTTTGGTAAATTGTGTATAATACTTAAACATTAAATGCGGACTAGTGTATCACAAATACAGTTATTGGTTGAGTATATGGAAAGGAATGAACTTCAATACGTTTCTATTATATTATTTAATACGTAGGATATACTTTGTACAGTAAAATGTAGTCCTCCAGTTTTTTAGATGAAATATTTGTTTAAGTGTTCAGATAAAGTTAAGGAATGCTGAGTGCTCTTTATTTGGTTAAGGTAAATTTAACGCGGGACTCTAATAATATAATACATAGTTTTTTGTTATTTATCAAACATAAAACTTTTAAAATAGACGCAGTTTATGAAATTTTTTAAATATAGTAAGAATATACGACCTAATCCAATGCTATCAGATCTAACCCGGTTACATTCATTTATTTATTTTCGTTGTTATCCGTATCACGTATCCCTTTTTAATGTTTTAACAGAAATGGTGACCTTAGTAAACCCACTGAAGGACCACACGGAAGAGTCACCAATGTTCAAAACACTCCTTATTAAGCCATATTCTTTGATAAAACTATTCTCACTAATATGTCTCATATCCGCTTCAAATTTTCTCTGTTCTCGTCGTTTGTCTTCATATGCAGCTTATGATAACATATTCCACGCAAGATAATGCCTAGTTGACATTATTTGGGTCAATAATAACTGAAAATAATCTATTAAACAATACTCTAAAAAGAGTTATAAGTTGTCACGCTACGTTTTGCAAGTGAGAGAGTTAACTACAGTCGCTACGGTATTTCTTGATGACGTTTATCAAATTTGTAACTCATGGTACCGATGTTCTATGGGATAAGCTACGAAACGTAAAAAACGTTAGTCGCTAGCGATTGGCTTTCGATAGGTAAATTTACTATAGGACTCATACTAGCAATCTTTAGTTTCACAAGTGACCGCTAGGAGCGCTGTATAGTTCTCCATACAAATCATTTACGCAGTCGCTAGCGAGTACGGTCATTGTAAACTCATGGTAACGCTACTGACAATTATTAACAGTGACAGGCAGGGAGGGCCTAAAAGATAATTTATTAGTTGATTTCCAAAAACTGTGAAAATCGCCACTAGCTCTTTGTTCGGCAATAATATCCATTTTTAGTTGCGTTTGATTATTTTGACACCATTTGAGCTTGTTTTTAAATGTCTTTTTTGTTTCTTTCATATTGTCATACAAGGTGCCCTGCGTCGGCCCACCGTGCCATAACCACAACTGATAGTGATACTTGGCTTCAGCATGTAAATGTTTCACATGATGATTCCAACAAAATAATTTTTTTCGTTGTGTCAGCCATATGTGGTATGTGGTTAATGTTTTGTTATCACATGTGAATTTCATGTTTATCATGTTGTTTATATATTTTCCCATTGTGGTGAAGGAAAAGGAAGGACATGGTAACAACCAACTTTAAAGACAGTGGTTAGAAACGTGATAACGACACTAGATAATCATTATTTTCACACGAAAATTCTGTATAAATTGATGATGATTGATAATTTATATTTTCATCTATCAGTTCTTTAGTGTGCTTTGACATAGTCGCCACCATTCTCCATAAAAAAAAAACGAGTGTTAGAAGTACCTATACAACAAAATTAGTGAGTTTGTTGTGCTTTGACGTGGACATTGGAACCAAATCAGAAGATATTCAAAAATACTTAGAAGAACACTACCACTTGTCGACTGCAAAAAGTGAATGCCAAAAAACTGTGTTATCCTCCACCATCCAGCATTCAAATAACCGATACAAGTGTTAAAGTGAATCTACAAGATTTGCTGGATCACACTTCTGCTCGTATCTTAAAGATTGAAAATATTTAAAACCCAACAAGAAAATCTCTCAAATTGTTTACTAAGTGGGGATGTGATGGTTCATCGCGACAAAATGAATATAAACAAGTTTTGACAGATGAGAGTGACTTAGTCTCAGATGCAAACTTATTTATAGCGTCTTTGGTACCAATAAAGCTTACTGACACAGAAACGAATGAGGTTATTTGGAAAAATCCAGCTTTTTCTTCTGTTCGTTATTGCCGACCAATCTTGATGGAATTTGCTAAAGAAACGCCTGAGAAATTCGGTGATATTCGGATTCAAATAAATAATTTGCAAACTTCAAAGATACACAAAGAGGAACAGGTAATTGAAAAAAGTCACGAGCTTTTCCTAACCATGGTAGATGGGAAAGTTACACAAGTTCTAACTGACTCGAGTTCTGGAGCTGTGTGAACAGTGTTAAACCATACATATCAAGTCTCAGAAAATCATCAGTCACTATCTCTAAAGAGTCGATAAACGAAGCCAAGAACCTCTTAGATATTTAAATATACTACTTTTTCTTACATTACTTGAAAAATTTTTTTTTGCAAATTTTCGTGCCAAATTTTAGTTATTTGTTTCAATCAACCAAAAAGTTACAGATTTTTGAGACGTTACGCAACTTACGCACGGTTCGGGCACATAATCGCCGGACCGACGAGTTCGATAGATGATGATAGGTTACAAGCAGCGTTGAACTGTTAGAGTTTATATGTTTTATTGGATATAGCTATATTCGACCGATGTTAGCACTGACTGATCGTCGAACGAGCACTCTAGCCTAACAGGTCGCTGTCGTCCGTGATAGGTTAGACACTCGTCATTTTCACAGATTTCTGTTGCCGCCATAATAACAAATACTAAAAAAAACAAAATAATATAAAAATTTAAGATTGGGCTCCCACACAGAACACGGAAAAGAGGTTAGAAGGGCGATCATGCATCCTTTGTATGAAAACCGATGTCGCCAGTCTTGCCCCACTTTTAGTCCGCCATATATCAGACGAAATATCAGACCAATTATACAAAAGATATGCACACACTTGCATCTTAAACATGCCAATCAGAACGCTCCAATATAACTATAACCAGTCACGCTCAACCATAACAGACCTATAGTGCGTAAAAGCCATTTTATCCATATAAACGTGTAAAAGCCATTTTAATTTGACATATCACACTAGTGATTCACATAAAGTTATTTACTATCGATATTGAAAAACAACAAATCGATTTATTGAAAGGATACTAGAGTAATAATTTATATTATTTTGGATATACATTGAATATCCAAAATATTATTGATTAAATGAGACATTATCTTTTTTCTTTCGATATTAATTCTTAATTAGTTGGTTGATTCAATAAGAAATATTTAAATTACTTATTACTAATGAACTAACATTGAATCGGTACTAGTCAAGCTTAAATATTTATTTGCATATAAATAAATATATCTGTTTATTAATAATAATAGTAGGTATTTTTTTTACGTTACGTTAGTAGATTTCGTATCAAGTTAACAGATAAGATCGGCAACATCGCTTAAATGAAACTAGTAATATTGACAAACAATATAATGTAAATAAATATATACAAAATAAAAAATTACTATCAGTACAATAAATGCTATTGGAACTTATCCTGAACGGATTCCGATGATTTAAAAAGTATTGTTGTTAATGGTTCAAAATAAAAAAATAAAACGAATTTTATGTTACAATATTAAGAATATAAAAACAAACTTATTACCACACTCATTATTAAATTAATATACAAACGCATACCAAACGAAGTCAATATTTTTTATTACCACTATTTTTATCGTCCATACTTTTATTTAGTTTTTACTAACTAACACAACAAGAACCGATTAAATGTTTCCAGGCACTTCACTACCCATCTACCGTAATCTACTATGTTGCTATTTAAAACGGTGATTTCGCGATCCTCATTAGGCCTGCGTAGTTGGATATAGCCCGTTCCCATTGTCAATTGCGAGATCTGTGACCCAGAAGTGGGGACATACGTAGGCTGAGGATAATAATTAATAATAATATTATACACACGGTTGTACGTCAGACTACACATGTGGACTTTGTACTAATATAAAAAAAAATATATATATATATATATATATATATAAATATTAAAGCAAAATTTGCTTCTTAGACTTTAGTTAGATACTGCTTTGAGCTAGTCAGTTACCACAGCTGTTATGTAATCATTAAATTAGTTTAGTAAGCAGGATAGGTCATTGGTAACCATTGATTTTTTGTTTAAACCATGTATTATAAAACATGCAGAAATATATTTTTGTACAAAATATAGATAACAATTTTTAGCACATAGACAAAACCATTTATTGTAGGTATAATATATTTCTTTTTTTTTAATAAAACTTACAGCGGGTGAGATAAATTAACTCTATTTGGCATAGGTACTATTGTGATCTGAAGTCATCATTATACATAAGTAATGAGCACTAACAAAGAAGTTTGAGGTTATAAGACAAAAGTGGTTTCTCTATTTCATTTTAAATCTTAAAATAAACATCGGTAGAGTTTAAAATAAATTGTCAAATTTTGACAACCGTTTAATTATAGTAGGCAACCCAGTAGAAAACAAAATTATAAAGAGTTAAAATCTTATATTTTACAGTGATTAATTGCAGCCGAAATTGCATATGTAGGAGTTTATGTATTTTCGCATAAGATAGGGAGCACGATAGAAGAATGTCTCTCTCTCGAACACGTTCAGTACTGTCAAGTCGTGGGACAGGAAGTTCTTCGTTGGCTTGTCTGTGGATATAAATATCAATTGGGTAAATATTGAATAAAAATAAAAATCGGTATTAAAGAGCTTATTTACAATTATTCCGAATAAGAATTGACGTAGGATGAAGGCAATACGGTCTGGCAATACACAGGGTGTCGAAATTTAGGGCTTTATTAAAAGCAGCGCAGAGTATATTTTCCTTTCAAAGCATTACCATCTTTGTCATGTTGAATAAAGATCGACTTCCAATGCAATATCCTTACATTTAAGTTTTAATAATTATTTCAACGTTTTTAAAGACTATAATTCTTTGATAGTAACAAAATTGTATATTTTGAATAAGATTATTTTTTGCTACAAACTAATTATTGATTAATATAAAATTAGAAGTTGTGGTATTCAAGTCAATAAAATAAATTTATTTTTACAAATCTACTATACACACTATAATACTCAATTAATTATGAAAAATAACAATCAGATCGCCTACCAAGTGGATCCACTTTGAAGATAGGTAGCGCTGTGACGTCACCGAAAACAAACGCCGAGCACAAGTTCAGCTTGTCAGCGTGCTTCAGATTAGTAGTTAACCGTATCAGAGCTGGAAATAACGCAGAATTAAGCCTCGGTTGCACCACAATTACAGTTAAAGGTAAGGTTTATGTCAAATTTGACAATATAAGTCACACTGACTTTAACATTTGAGTGTGGAATGCGTTGCACCATCCTCTTTCTTTGCATAGTAAAACAATAACTTACACCAGTGAAGCTTGGGCAATTAAAGTTATGACGTCATCCGGCATAGCCAAATGATGACTCATTATGATTTACTTAACCGGTATTTTAACATGTTTGTTATTGTTAAAGTAAGTTTGGTGCAACAAACCCTAAGACTTGTATTTTATGGATCCATGCTGTGAATATGCCACATATATAGCGTTCGAACTACGATGTAGAAGTTAAGCAACTTTCGCAAGAGCCGGTTATAGGATGGGTGACCAAAAATTTGATATCTCCGTCTCGTTCTTGTCCATATTTCGGAAGATTAAGCTGTAGGTCCCGACTGTCGGCTACATCTGCTCACGTTAACACCCTAATTCGTACGGGGCTCGAATGGTAAGGTTAAAAATTGAGGTTCACTTAAAGTATTAAGGTTTAAAATTGAGTGGGGAAAATTTTATTTAACTGTACCATCTATGTATATTGTTCATACTCACGATATTCTCCTCGAATGTGGTAGTTGTATTTGGAGTCCTCTTTCTTAGATGTATGCTGTATGAGTGTACGATCCGACTCCAGGTCCAGGTATGGGCAGTCGACAGAGAGGACAGCTGTGTCCCCGGGTACGTTGAAGCTAACAATAAATTTGTAATTAGATTTATCACCACCCGATATGCTTGATGTTCATTTTGAAACAGATAAGTATGTAAGTCACTCTGCAGCCAAGGTTGCCAGATTCTGGGATTTTGGGAATAAAGACAACGATAAACAGCCAGTTGCACAAATGTCCAATAATATTGTCATTAGTAATAGTGACATTACCGATACAAATTTGGCATCCATTAGAGCTTAAAGGCGTCATTAAGCCTCAATGGACGTTTGTGCATCTTACCAATAATGTAGTTCAATTTAAAATATCTGGTAATTGGCGCCTTATTCACTATTATCTTTCTTCACATGTCTCATCGGCTGGCCTTGCTTCTGGACACCGATAAAGCGCGCATAAAAGTTATAGAAATAGAGATTTGTATAACTTTTATGCGCGCTTTACTCGGTGTCCATAAAAATATATCTACGAGTATATTTGGTATTACATAATAATAAAAACGTTCAAATAGGGATGAGTGAATTGAGAATTTAAAATTAAGCACGACTCAAACCGTACTTAAGCCCTCGTCACTTAAACAGGTTTTCGTTTCTGATTTTATTTTTTTTAATGATCAGTTGATAGCAGTTTGATAAAACTATTACTTTTTGCCTTGTGTAACGTACGAAACTAAGTTAAACATATAAAACGTGGTTATCGAGAATATTCAGTTAAGATTTTGTACTTTTCTCAATTTAGAAAACGGCCGTATTTTTGCGTTGCGGCGGGGTAAGAAGTGTGGGTTGCGTGAGTGCGTTGCATCATGGTGAGACGGGCGCGTTGATATGCGTGGGCATTGTTCAATAGGATTAATTTTTATAAAAACGGTAAGTAGGTCTTAAAAGTTGCGTTATTATCACAGTATAAAAAAATATAAGATATATAAGGTGTTATATTATTATATGCCAGGACTTCATGGCTATATGATTAGTTAAGTATACTGAAGAACTTTTACTATGGGAGCAACATAGAATTCATGAAAAAAACAATCAACTAATTATTTTTTGAAATTCACGAAAAAAATAATCGACTGTTTATTTTTTGTGAGCCCTTTTACATTATATAAGGGCTCCTCTCGTTTGATCCGTTCTCAGTACTTTGTATTCGGCTCACTCGTTGTCCCACCAATGTTATTGCAATACAGCTTTGATATGTATAAGGGTAAGCGTATGCATTGCGACAGGGTTGAGAGATAAATGCATTGCGGCAGGTTAAGAAGTGTGTAAGTTGCGGTAGTGTGAGAGGTATTGTTCGATCCGTTGTCAGTACTATATAATCGGCTGCTAGCTTTATTGAACTATGACGATGAGCTCACACCCTAGTAGCAATTTGTTTTGGCCATCGTCGGATCTTTATACTTGTTTAAGGCCCGACGGTCGACCAACCCAAATTGCTGCTAGGGGACATGGGAGTGTCGATGATGTGTCCGTGCCGAAGATATGCTAAGCTTTTCAATCCAGTTGTCTCTCCAATCTTCAATATTGACGAACACCCGTTCTTCTCGCTAGGTTGAAAGCAGCGTTTGTTAAAGTTTGGTACTGTAAATCCGTGTAGTGTTGATTTTGCCGTTTGTTCATGTGACTTTGTGTGCGGACAGTACACAGCAGGTTTTGCAGACACTGACAGGGTGTGGAAGTTGCTAGATATCATTAACTCACGGTTATAGCAATGGACTTCTGCAAAGAAAAAAAAACGTCTGATTCTAATAAAATACTTACAAAAATTCAGAAATTTTGCATTTGTTGTGATTTCTGATTGTCAGCGTTCTATCTATGAAGGATGCATTGAAGAATGGTGCTTCGAAGCGGACGTTTTGCAATGTGTACTTGTTGGGTAAAGCGCCTTTAATGACCGGTTTGCATTTTGAATTAGCCCTCAAATTATCGGCTATGCATTTTCGGTCTGAAAAATAGCATGGCCTAACAATGCCTGCTTTACCTGGAAATTAAATATCATTGATTAACGTATAATAATTAATAAAACTACAATCAGTATCCGAGGAGTTCGATTACGCAGTGGTTAGCACGCTCGGTCTGCGGAAGTTAAGCAATTTTTGCATATTCATCCAGCTCGAGGTACTCCGTGTGTCGGAAGTTACGTTAAGCCTTTGGTCACGACTGCATCTGCAGCCGTAAACACCTATCAATCCGCAGTGTTTCTACATTATCAAATCCACTTACAGAAGGGTTCTTAAAATCAAAAAACTAGATGTGCAACGTTATTTTATAAATATGAATTGTCATTTTTACTCATACATGCACATAAACTTCATAGCTTTAATAACCCAAGATTTTTTCTAAACTAACATCGGTTCATACTGAAAAATTCCAACCTATCATAAAACCAAATAAATTCAGATTTGTTAACAGAATAAAATTGAAAGCTTGTTCCAGAAATAACTCTTAATATACCTACCTGTTTTTGCTGTTACCCCAAATCATTCTACCCCTGTTATTGCAGTCACATAACCAACCTCGATTTCATGCCAAAATTAAAAATACACTGTACTTTAGTACTCACCTGCGGCACAGACGCCTACAGCCAAACAAAATAATATAGCCCTCGAAATCATCTCAGTGATAATCACTGACACAACTTAAAAGCACTTTAGCTGAACGTCTACTGCGCAGACCCAAAGTAATTCAGAAAAATAAAATGCGATTCTAGAATAATGTTCAAATAAAAGAATGTGCGTTCCAAATTTGAACAGCTGATTAAACTAAAACAATTGACGTGCTAAATTATATCTTCATTGACAGTTCTGAGTCTTATTTTTATGTTTATAAAATCGATATTTCTTTAACTTAATTAACAAAATGTAAAGCTTACGGAGAATGAGTAAGCATAATAAGATTTATATAGTCATAGTGCAAATTAAAAAGATTATTAATTATTTGCTGGCTGTCGTTAATAAATCTAGATGTCATAGTTTTAAAATTTATGTATTAACGTCAATGAGTGAATAACAAATTTTACTTTCTACTAAGGTACATATAATAACTGTTTATCTTATATAGGAACAGGAAAAGTTGGAACAGGTGAACGAGTGCTTTTTTCTTACCAAAAAATCTTTGTTTATTTTGATTTCTCATAATTTATTAGTAAGTTCGTATATATTTTACATGCTTTATGTTATTTGTATAGTTAGTTATGACCTACCTATCCATCTAGTTTTATCACATTACTAACAAGTTGTACTTATCTAATTTTAAGATGTCTTCACTTAGGTGAAAAATGGCTGATTTACACGGATTAAGTATATAGCTTAATTATTAACTAATTTTATTATGGCTGGTTTACACGTATTCAGTTGTTAAATAGTCATCTTAATTTTAATTGATTAAGTACGTGTAAACACACATTACGCTTACGATCATGTTAACAATTTAGTTAGCCACTTATCAACTTAATCCGTGTAAACCAGTCCTAACAGTAAAGAATTTATAACTTTAGTTCTTAGCAACTATATCAGTAATTGTGTTTGAGCTCTTAGTGGATGTATTTAGTTATTTTTGTATATATTTCAATTACCTGTTTCAAGACTATTTGTTTAATGTGTGAGTCCCCTTTTGTCTCACTTTCGAACTTAAAGCATTATTTTGTCATTTCAATTTTTTATACACACAGCAGCATGATAATTTACTAAAAACTTCCATATTTCTATTAATCAAACAAAATCAACTTTAATAACTCTACCCTCTAGTGAACTGGACTGAAACAGAGTGAAAATATTGTCAGTTTTGTAATTATACGCCTTGATGATGACTGTATATGTACAATATGACTAAAAATTACTTAATTTACTAAAATAAAAAAGGTAGTCAATTGAATATCTGCTTAAAGTGTATATTAATAACGCTAGTGTAATCCATATAGATACCTTTTAATGTATTAAATACCAGATGGAATTCCATTTTGAATAACATAAACTTTCTGCATATTTGCTTGTGCAAATAAAACGTGTGACTAATTTATCAGTATAACTCAAATTGAATATAAATTAGGATACATAAACATAACCAAAGAAACTTGTTGATGTTCATTGTCATTATAACTCTCCATTCCATGCGATCTGAAACCAACCCTTATCATCCTTCTGTGAACAATAGTTAGTCCATGCCCCTGAAGTAGGTATTTCCCTGGGAGGCCATAAATGTCCAAGAATCTTGGTACAAACCAAAAATAGGCGTGTCATTGACATTATCAAAAATAATTCAGCATTACTTTATTTCTGCACTATATGACACAGTTTCATAGGGAGGTAGATTGGTATCAATTCTGGTGTATTGGTACTTGAGCAGTCGTACGGCCGGATTGCGAAAGGTAATGGGTTAAAATCCCATCTCAAGAGTGGATTTTTTAAGCATTTAATTTGAGTTTACTTGTACATTACATATAAAAACAGAAGATATTTAATTGTCAAATCTAACCAAAGACGCAGTGCACCGTTAATTAAAAATAAAACAACTCGATAAAGGCTTAAAAATCATTTTTATTCATAACTATCGTACATTAATAATTATATTCAATAATAATATTAATCAATTTAATTAAATATTGTAATAGTTGTCTGACACAGCGGCACGCGCACTCAACAAGCGTTATTGTTTTTTTTTTTTTAATATAAATGCAAAACTTACATGTTGTGTTGCCGCCATAAACATTGTTATTACAAAATCCAAGATGGCCACGCAGAAAATAATAAATACGTCACAGTGATACGACAATCATAAAGGTACACTATACCGTAATTAGATTCTCGGAAAAACAAGCCAATATATTAACACTTCGACAATCTTAAGGTCGATACACACTGTACTTTGTTTATCTCGGACGGTGTGAGAAAAGACGTGGCAGTAATAATTTGGTGAAGTTCTTTGAAAATGTATAAATGGAAACAACCATAAGTTATATCATCAGTGCGTTCCTAATGTATATATTTACGTGATGGACGAGATCAAAATGCAGTAGAATTATATATATATATATATATATGTATATAAGTATAAAAGTTATTGACGTAAACACTCGTCCGAATTCTGTTGACGCTTCGTCCCGTCCGAGTTATACACGGTCACGTGTGCAACGAGCTTAACTAAAACTGACCTGAATGACATACGGTCTAAAGTGTGATCCAGACGATTGAAAACCACCGTTTCAACCAGGCCCGTCTTTACCCATGGTGCAGGGGGTGCAACGCACCCGGGCGCCGCACCGATGATCTTCGGGAAATTCCCTGTAATCGGCGGCGGCGCCAGAGCACTGCTTGCACCCGGGCGACAGTTGTGCTTAAGACGGGCCTGGTTTCAACACTAACTGTTAACAGATTAAAACAAAAAATCATATGGAAAAATTTTACGTGTTGTTGACTGAACATTATAAAGAGAATAACTTTGAACCAACGTAGCATATGATTGAGGGTCGCACTGTGATATTGACAGATTTTTTTTAATACAACATCAACATTAAAGTTAATAAATAACAATATTTGTAGCGGCAAAAATACTTATGAACAGATTTCAATGCTTTGGTATACAAAACAAAAATAAATACTACATACTAAATATTTGACATAAATAATAAAAAAAAAAGGTTTAACTACAAAGTAATTACAATATGCCTTGGTAATAAATATGGTACCAATAGACGAACACAATGATTTCAAATTAACTATCAAACACTTAAAGAGTACTGGGAAAGGTTTGCTAAGAATATTATTACAACATAGAACTAAAATTGTACCGAGTTTTAAAAAAAATTCAAAAAAATCCTAACAAAAAATGGTTATGAGACAATAAGAGATTCATCTTGTTCAAATAAAAAAAATTGCATTGAAAACTGTTTATAAGTGGAATTATACAAGTAATTTGAAATATGCAGTGGAGAAATACAGCATTTTTTTTTCTACAAACCATCTACAAATTTGTCATTGACTTCAATTGACAAATGTCAGTTGTTCTATCAAATGACAAGGCAATTATATGTCAACATAAAGTATTTAATACAAAAAGGAAATACACAAAAATGCACTGCTAATTTCAAATGACTTCATACAAAATTATTTGTAGAAATGGATAGTTAACATAACATTAGTCACTCATGGCGGTTAAGCTTAATTCGGAGAAAGAAAAATAAAAGAGTTATTACTGTTACTATTATATAAAAAAAAGAAAAATGCTACGACGCGACAAATTTGCGATTCTCACAGTTTTACTGTTAATAAAAGACAAAAAATATTAGGTTTAAAAATAATATACATTCAGAATCGTTTTTAAATACAAACGACGAAGCGAGATAGGTTACATTAATCTCATATCCTTTCACACTTATATTCAATCACAAATCAATTTGGAATTGGTACAAATAAAAAACAAAATGGACTCTCGGTATTACGCATTGGACCCAAGCTACGGCGGAACAATACTAATAAAAAAAATACACAACTAAATATTATACAGTCCATTTACTTACATACACAAATATTATTAGCAATGACACATCGCTACAATCAGCGTCTAAACAATCTCACGATGACAAAGAAAGAGACGAAAAATGTACATAAACGTTATCAAGATTGTCACATGTCCCAAAAACTAAGGTTGAATTTCCTTTGAATTTCAAGAAAGTATAGGCGCTGAATGACCATACGAAAACGCTTGAGAGATATTCCGTATCGCGATAGACATTTGTTAAATTTATTTTACAAAACTAGTTTTCCACATTTGTCCGCACCGTCGCGCTAGTGTCGATTTAAAAAGGAATCGCTTACCGAGTATTTTTTATACAAAAATTATAAAAGAAGCTAAAAACAAGCAACACAATCGAGTAACACTCATTTTTGGCATGAAGGCACGAATCCTATATTCCAACGCCACCTACAATATAATTATGGGAACTATCGGAGAAAAATGGAAACTTGACGCTACATTTGTTTGTATGACAGCTGTCAATTTTCTAGGTGTGTTTTCAAGCGATTCTACCAACTTCACTAGATTACCATCGTATTACGGCCCTTTATTACTATATAGGGTAATTTAACGAATCTGTATAAAATCCTCTAACTATCTAGAGTTGATCCAAACTAACAGCTGTCATAAAAATCAAAACACAACAGCACAATCTCAACATCAAACCTTAATCAACGTAGCGTTAATGATTACACACAACATTACACCGAATATTACAAAACCATGTACAGTCGACAACAAATCAAACATAACACTTCATTTTAAAATCGGCTTTATTACAAAAACATTAAAGTTGTATATCGCTAAACATCCAAGGCCTTCGGATGTGGCGATAATAATACACATACTATTATAAAATCTATACGAAATTGTTATTTTTACCTTGGAAGAGTGTAGACAGACATACCATGGTTTTTAGTCAACCTTTAGTAAACATATTTTATAGTATGTAAACAAAATTATAAACGCGTATAAATTAATTTATGTTATAAATGCCATATGTTGTACACAATCATAAAGTGTTATCAATAATATACGTTACAACCCAGAACGTAGATACCAATTTTGTATAACAATACAAAACATGATTAGATTGATCGATGTTAGAAATAATTAGTCTACTTTTTCTATTAAAAGAACCATAATTATACAAATGTTTAGTTCCGTGTCACAATATCTTTTTAAAGTTTTCACATTGAAACTGGTGCAGCTTCTGTCATTTTGTTACCATACTTATGATCGAATAACATAATAGAATTACAACTACAATGTTCAATAGATTATATTTATTCCAATCACATTTGTTAAAACTTATAGACTTTTACAATAAAATAACAACTGTCGTAATTTTAAAGTATTCATCAGGAAAAATAATGGAAAAACTGAAATTAGGTAATGACAACTTTTATAAAGCAAAATATAGTCTATAATAAAGTTACACGGCCCATTTTTCTATGCTCGAATTTTTAAAACAAAATTTTACTTCGCAATTCTACTGTCTTTCACTGCTTCAGTAAGAGAGATAGTTGATGTATAAATCTATATTTCTTTACTCTTCACTCAATCGTCGTATTAAAAATAGAATGACTCACTATCACTACACGTTCTATTTGTCTGAAATACGCGTCTAATCACATGTTTAGATTTGGTTTGGATATCTAAAAAAGAGCTTTAGGACATTGGAATAAGGTTGAGTTAACATAATGAGGAGGATGATCACGAAACAAACCTTATTGTATACGTCTTAAAGCTCGTTCTCGAATAAGATCATTTTTAATTTGCTGGTCTATGTGAACACACTTCTAATGGAGGTAAATTAATAAATGTCTATTATGGTAGTATGAACTCTTAATTGTTGAAGTGAATTACATATATTATTCTTGAATAGTATTTTTAAAGGTGACTTAAGGTCAACCTCATGATATATTTCGTGACTACGAGGTGGGAGTATGAAATGACCCTTTTAAGCTATTAAATAATTCCCAAGCGAAATTTCCATCTACCTGTACGTTCACCAACACAATATGTAAAATTATCAAATTTTTGTTAATTTAATTTAGACTTTAGTGTTGAGAAGTTTAAATTGTATTGCAGATATTTGATATTTTGTTCCAGTCCTATGTGCTATCGCGTGTACTTTGGTCAGTAGCTACGTCGTAAAGGGCACTTTGATAAGCGTCACGAAGATTTCAGTTTTGGCTTTAAATATATATATGATTTGTGTTTAGATTTCCTAATTCTTAATGTTAATGTCACACAACCGTTTTGTTATGTTAAGCAACCTTATTTTTTTTATAGTGGGTATGAATAACTACCGAAAGTTTGTTCTATAGTAAATACACAAATAAAACAAACCTAATTTAATACATTATGACTTCATATATATAAGGTTCCCAATTCAGTGACAATTCTTTCCACACCACTAAAACGAAGGTAAAAACTAAAGTTGTCTAAAACAGTGAACAACATATTATTACACACATATAAAACTAGAGACAGATGTAGTATATACACATAGATATATCAAAATAAGCCAGACCTCCAGGTGTTCTTGTTAGAAAGAAAGAGTATCTCTATCAGGCAAAACGTTCTCTATACTTCCCATTCGTAATATTTCCAGTACAATATAACACATAAAGGAATAAATACTTCCCCATAAACAACATAGATATTATCAAATACATAAACTAAACATCCATATCAAAATATAAAGCATAAAAATCATTCGAGTAGGTAGTCGAGGAAGATTTATGGTTTATTTATACAGCTGATTGCTTCAACACTGATCAGTGGAACTCACTACCAACACTTTACCATATATTTATAGGTATTACATTACAAATGTAAAACAGTAAAGCGGTATTACACTATCCTGGATGAGTATTACTTTTAATGTTCCATGACCGAATAACTATCAACATGAAGCCTTAACTACTACGATCAGAAACTTGAAATGTTGCACCATAGATGGGCACTGAGAAAGTATTTCAGAAAATTCGACCCTTAAAATGGGTGAAAAGAAGGGAGGGGAAAAGTACATATAATGAAAATTCGTCAGTTTCCTCACAAACGTCAATTTAAATCGTTTTTTGTCTAAAGCAAGTTTATGTTCTCTCTACCACTCTAATGATACAAATTTTCATTTTTTTTTTCAGTCCAAACTTTTATGGACGTATGTGCAACTGGGTGTATGTGGAATAGTTCACGGGCCTGAAGTTGCAGGCAGAATCTATTAAAAAGGGAGTGGCATAACCTTTCAAAATAATAATTGTCACAGGACATAGAACAATGAAAATGTATTCTTAGACATAGTAGCGAGCATTGCTGAGAATGTATTAAATTTTTTATTGTACATCTTGACGCCAGACACCCTGCGAGTTAAGTAGAGAAAACAGAATCTTCGAACAGGAATAATAATAATTATAATGTACGTCTGTTATTGCCTATAATACTAGTTAGTTAGTTAGTTAGTTAGTTTTTTAGTTAGTGACTAGAAAGTAACCGTTTTATTATATAACAAATAATTCACGTCGTACTGATTTAATTTCCAACTGATTCCGTGTGTGAATAACTCTCGCTGACATTACGTCATTCCATTAGAGGGTAGTCCATATATTTAGACTCCAAATCTGTCTCTAGCCGCGTGGTTTATAATCTGTTGTTCACAGTACATAACAAAACAATATGAAAAAATCTCAACGTGTTCCATAACTCTTTCGATGGAAGCATTAGTGATTAGCATCTAAATCCAAGTGCGATAAAGATGAAGAGGTATAATATATTTATCCTTTTCTAACATTAATGCGACTTGTTGATTTAGCGAATTTTAGTAAGAGAAAATATATTTATATGCTGAAATTTGACACAAAGATTTGTCCGAGAGTGCTGTACTTGATATGATGCAGTTCAACTAGTGGAATCAATTTTATCTAAATAAAAAAATCTCGAACGATATACAATACAAAGAAAATTTGTCTGTACACATTCACACAGGCGTAACATTTTATACAAACACAGCACAATACAATATCTGACTTATCACGCAAGCCTTTGGGTGTATAATCCCAGGAGGCTAAAATATTCCAGTGGTACCAATTTAATATGTTTTAATTAGCAGTTTTTATTAGACAGGGATAGACAAAATTGTACCCTGATCAAATTGAAACTTCATTTAAAATAAAATTAGGTTATCGAGTTTACAGAATAACTGAAAAAAAAAAAATCTGTGATATCTATTTTATGGTGATTCTGTATGAAAGAGAGTAAGCTGGAAGATTTCCTAAATAACATTTTCGTATCTCATCGAATTATCCACCCAATTATCAAAGACCTTAATTTATTAAACCTTACATATCTTTCGAAGCGCGCATTCCACTGCTAATATAAACAACATAATAATGGAAATGTCTTTTGTCGTTCACATAGCTGAACGCGAAGTTTATTGTTCTACATTTACCCACACTTATATACACTTTATGACTGAGAACATAAGTGTCATTTTCACATTGGAGACAAAAACAACAAATACATGTTATTTTTATAGTGTATTAATAGACAGACTAGTAATACGTCACAGATAACTGTAAAACGACAAACTTCGCTCGTCCAAAACACTTAAAACCAGTCTCTAAGATCAACGTAACAAGTTTGGGAATACAATAAAATTGCCGGTGTGACAAAAGTCTTTTTAGGTCGTCTTTAAGATGACCCTGGATTATATAGTTGAATTTTAACACCGACATGTCACAATAAAAAAGGGAGAAAAAAGTGACACGCTTACAACCGACTACTCGCTGCTAGGACACGCAAAATGAATAACGGTGTTTTTATATATAAATGGGTATCTATATATATATATATTCTTAATTGTTATGAATCTTGTACCTACCCGATTATGAGAAAAATAAAAAAATAACAATGGTGTCAATTCTTCTGTGGCACTCCCTAAACTAAAATATTTCTAATGCAATATAGATTTTAACGATATTCTATAGTCTGTTCTGGTATTTTAAGAAACATAATTATACTCCTGTATAGCGTTTCATAAAAGTAAAGCGTGCCATAAAAGTAAACTTACTTCTGTTATCTTAGTTGCTTACATTATTAGAAATGAAGGGTGATAGTATTAACATTAAGTTTAGATTAGTTTGTGCAACAGAATAGGCACCATTGTACAGCTTTACTAAAAAGACATTTTTTTACAAAATATAACACGTTAATAATTACTGCGAGTCCTAGTTAACAAATATACATGTCCTTTGAAGTTCTTTATATGTACACATTACCGTACACTTTTGCGGAGGAACATTTTCTCATATAACAAAAACATTCAAGTTTTAGTTGTATTAAATAAGAGAACGGCAACTTATGACTAGACGCGATTTGGACTCTGTACCAAATGAAAACCGGAGTGGGGGGTGGGGGTGTCATTTAAACACGTTCCATCAAAATCGCATCGTTTTTGCTAAGAATCAACGGTCAAATATCTTCCAGCGTCTCATATAGAGTAACAAAAGATGGTTTTTATAATCACAAAACAAATAATAAGTATATTTTTATTAGACGCCTTTTAGTTTTGTTTAAAATAGATGTACGATAATGTGTTGAAATGGACATGTATATATATGCTACATATATTGTGATGTATTTATATATGTATAAATTATCGGTGTTAGTAAAGCGTGTCTGTCTGTGTAGCGGTGGAGCGCGCTCGCCGTCGCTACGATACACCACCCCTGGCTTGCTCTTCGCGCTGTTTACTGATATATACCTGTTTATAAATAAATTTATTTTGAATAATAAATAAATAAGTAATATGTAATAAAGACCACATAGATTTTATGAGAGTTAATAGCGGGTAAATGTCCAGGTACAAAACAGTAAATATGCACTTTTTAATTTTAAAATTTAATTGATTCGTATTATTATTACAATTTATATGGGTGATACCTGAATAGGGATGATGACTAGGTAAAAAGAAATATAAAAATAGATAATAGAAAAATATTAGATACGTATTTATTAAACTTTAATTTAACAAGAAAAAGAATTTAATTTAAATAGCTTAGATAACAGGCATTAAAATGAGGAGGGGGTGGGGGCTCGCTACGTCACAGTTTATAGAAAATGTACAAAAGCGTAACGTCATTTGAATGCGACATTTTAACTCAATGTATCGCCGTAATTTAAAGATTACAAAAAAAAAATACGCGTTTATTATTTTTTGACACTATCTACCATTACCTGACGGACAAACAAAAAAAAAAAGAAGTCGTCATCCCTATTACGTATTGCAAAGTCAACAGTATGTCAAGTTATACAACACCCTCAAATTCCAGCCTATGTTTTTAGACCTTAATGCCTTTACTCAGAGTTCAAAATCAACTACTGAATATTGTGATGACCCAACATATAATGATAATAACTTACCTGCAGTAGTCTATATTTGCTGACGGACAGATGTCTCAGATGGGGTTGCATTCTAGCCTCGCCTAATGCGAATGTAAACGCCACCATACAAAACACAGCCGCCTTGCGTACAGCCGAATTCTGATGATCCGCCAACTAAGAGGACAATCAAATTAAAATGGTTGGTATCTCATCTTCATCTGAAGGCCTGTACCGTTTCTTTGAAAACGAAATTTCGTTAATACAACTCCAAAGACACCGAAGAAGTGTGAACACAGCTTATCAAAATTAATATCTATAATAAAATATAAATCTGAACGTGTCTATAGTTTCTAATTCTAATCTATGTATGGATGTTGCTAGCCTCTTTCTGGTTGCGTAACCGATTTTTTTTAATACGTTCGTCTGAATAAAAGTATAAATCTGATCAATGTAGAAAATTAACATACCTATCTAATTATAGTCTCCAGGTGTCGGGGCACCTTTATTATAATAGATAATAAATATTTTTTATAGCAGTCGCCCCTAAGCTAACCTTTTTATTCTTGTTACCCCTAGTACCCAGCTTCTATATGAACTTCAACTGCGCTAAAACAACGTAAATAAACGCTACAAAGTTTTTCCCTCTCATTATCAGTATAATATAAAATATACCTGTCCTACTCCTTCCATGAGTTGTGAGACGGTATCGTCAGTGAGCTCGTGACTTCTCGCCTTCGCCACTTCAGCGGCCAGTTTCAAAGCGCACAGAGAAGTAGGATAGCCTCGTGTACGAATCACAGGTTTTAGTAACGCCAGTACCTGTTAAAATAGCTGTGGTTAAGCAACTTTCATTAGGGCTACCACACACTTATAATTTCATACTACTTCGTGCTTTTTAAGGCTCGTTAAGCCGTTGGACTTCGTTATATCAGCAATCACGACACTAATTATAAGCCCTGTGCCTCAGCAATTAGGATGATTAAATTACGGCATTCGTTAATACCCACAACACCAATCCCCACTGGCCCCGCGCGGTAGAAAATATTATTTTAGAGAATATTATTTTTAACATCTGAGATAGATATGAAATGAAATTTACACAATGTTTTAAAATTTTCCTTTTATAATCTCGCGTAAAAATTTCGTTAGCGCGATTCAAACTCACCTGATGGGCGGGCAGCGCGGCTGCTATATGCGGCATACCCGCGTCCACTGCTCGCATCACCTCTTTGTTGAGTGCACCGTAAGCGTTGATCAGCTTCAAGAGTATCAAATCGAAGTAATCCAACCATTGTGGTCTGGTTTCTTGTCTTCGGCACAACCAGATTAATACTTTCACCGCTTCGGCCGCGGCTCGCTCGTTCGCTGTACCCCAACCTTTGAAAAGGATGAATTTTAAATCTTGATGGATCATAGGTGGAAATTTTTTGAAAATAGAAAATAACAATGGATGTACATATCAAGTAACTCATTTCTACAGCTGAGTTTATGGGCTGCGATGTAAAATTTTACTTAAATTGGGCAATGATTCTTCACAGTGTACACTGGATACATTAGGGTCCAGTAATTTCCACTATAATTGTAAACAACTCGACTGTCATTCAATTTTCATCTTTATACTGCACTATTAAAACTCATATTTGTGTGTCTCAAACGAGGTACACAGTAAAAAAACGCGATGTATTTCTTCGTCACACTGCACTACATGCGTCTTAATTGGGTTACGTAGACTTAAACCTTACTATAATGGAATAAGAGCATTATATGATACCCTTTCTATATCGACTTTAATCGATGCACACATAATCGTCTAAAAAAGCTGAAGAACTAAAAACATACCGGATGATTGTTGCGCATTCGAATTTTCAGAGTTCTCCTTGTCACCTGAGTTTTCTTCTATAGACAAAGCTGCCAACGCTACCCTTACTATATTTCTGCAATAAACAAACAAATTTGTATAAATACCAGGGTTCGTATAAAAGTACAAGCAATATACACAAAAGCTACAATTAAAGTTTTCTTATTACTGACTGCGATAAATACTATACTCACTTGAAATACTCGCAGGGTTTCCGGCAGTCGCCATATTTGAGTATCTCGTGTGTTGCCAGTAACAATCGCTCCCATTGTTCAGGCGGCGCTTGTGACACGTCCAGTTTGCATAACGCCTCTAATACCTCTTGTTCACGGAGACCGGCTAATTTGAATAAACATATTTTTTTCAATATTGAGTTATAAATTTATTTATACTGAAAATAGAGAAGAGTCTAGACTCTTTAGACTTAAGACAGACATATATTTATTTATATTAAAGTATTTTTTTATGATACTTTTTTTTTATGTATTCTATACTTACATTTAGTGATGATAAATCCGTTCTCGTCAGTCTCATATGGTTTCATTTTGTCACGCCCCGAATTGTACTCCCTGGGAAAAAACGTATTATTTTATTAATATCTATCTAAATCTTCAAACAAGGGGCTAAAAAAGATATTCACGAACTTCCCGCTACAACTAATCGATGTGACAGCGATTGCAATCGCAACTTTTTAAAGATATTAAATAAACGATTTCATTAATTTAACGTTAGTTAGAAATTTCTAAGGAAAACGTTAAACGCAAATATTTTTGAAAGCTGTTAAGAAATGTCAAATGAAATGCTATCTACAATCTTTTTACCAGTTCAAGAAGTTTTTTAAAATTAAGAATGAGTCCCCTGGATCCTTAGTACGATATGCAGATTCTCCACAACGCATGGTATATAAATATGCGTTTTACTTTCTGGACTTTAATAGCGTCTGCAAAAGTATTGATTTTTTTTTTAATAAAAATAATTTCTCGCTAACAATACAGGGTATTTAAGTGATCGTGTTAAGGGTTCTGTTCTTACATACGTAGTCAATAGCACATTGAATTTCAGCAATAGATTTTTAATTTAACTTAAAGTAAGTAAAGGCTTAAAATCAAATGGAGTTATGACTAGCGTTTTAAGAAATTCCATAATCGAAATAAAAACCTCAAAACAAAATCCGTAGCCGATATAAAATTTTGAATAACTTCAGAATGGATCGGAGTTTTAATGGGACATATTTTCACAGGGAGTATCTAATTATTTCGTTACCCATGATCGAGCCGTAAAGCAGCTGGTACTGGCGATGATTCCTTGGTGCTAGCCTCTTCAGAACTGTCTGCAGACGCTGCTCTCGCTAATGCGTCACTTCTACATAAACACAGACACAAAACATCTTCATTCTAGAGAACTGAACACTCCCAAACGCTGGTCTTTGTCGTCGCTATTAACATTACAGTATGTAAAATATAGAACGGTCAGTATGGGAAAGTTTAAATTATATGACAAAGATCAGCAGGCAACTTTTGAACGCAATCTCAATCCAATCAAAATAACAATCATAATTTTCATCTGATATTAGCTCTTATTCTTCAAACATAGACTCCAAATCAAGGGTATTAAATCTCACAATTACAATGACAATCGATCGCGATTGCGTTCGACGTTAAGCATGCACTGTCGGGCTTATGACTTATTTGCTATTTAAAAACAAAATAAATACACTTACGCGTTGTAATGTCCGTTCAGACCCCTGTTGTTGGAGAGAGTAGCGTCTGACATCTGACTGATGCCGGAATCCTTGCTTGACATGTGGTTGCCGCATTCTGCTGTTCAACAGGGAAAATCAATAAATTAAACAATCTAATATTTTAATTAATTTCCTGATAATTAGAAACTCTGGTTTACTAATGATATTTAATGAAGATATTTTTCTGGATATTGCAACACAAAGAAAGTTCTCATTAGTGAGATAATGGTAGCAACATTTACATTTTATTCATATCAATGTATTTCCTGTAATATTCTACATTCAAAATCAAAATGTATCGATTTCAATACATAAAAATGAAAATTAAGTATCAGTCGGAGAAGCTATCGTGGTGTGCCACAAGGATCTATTTTAGGACCAATCCTCTTAGCAAAATGGTGTCAGACTCATAGACCCAACCAACCCAAAACCAAAAAAACTCAACCCAAAAAATAAATAATGTTAATGACTTCAAAAATATGTATCACGTGTTTCTTTTAGTATTAATTTTAAATTATTTTGTTTGATTATTAGATATATTTGTAGATTGTTCATTTGTGTATCTGTGTGGAAGTGTTTATATGAAGGTATATGGAGCAGGGTTTTGGTCCGCGAAAAGCGGAAAAATAATACTGCTTACAAAGAGATCATTGTAAGTATACTATGTTATTAGCTGACGACTTAATATCTATTATACTAAAGTTAAATAGGGTATTTGACACCATTGAAAATAAGTTGCATGCTGTGGTCATCTGTTAGTAATAATCTGATAAGTTTATTTCTTAGAAATTGCATACAAAAAAAAAAGATTTAATAAGATAACGTAAAGAAAATGCAATATTTTTAGGAATTTAATGGACGATAAATACTCAGTGTTTTTTATTGGTCGTCATCACAACCAATAACAGGTTCTGTTTACTGGCGTGTGACGTCACACGTAAACAGGAAGCTGTCATGTCAAAACAGTGTTTACTAGAGATACGCAAAAATTGTATTTTTATTATTATACCATTTGTAATTCATTTTATAAACAAAACTAGAGTAAATAAAAATACGAAACATAAGAAACTTCAATTTCTCTTCTGTAATACTATTTGTTTATTTCATAACTAAAAAGGTTACGATACCTTGACATATGTATTTACTAGCGTGTGACGCCACACGTACCATGTGATCAGTGACATTACATAGAGAAGCGACTTTGGCTTTTTAAATTTAACAATTCTTTTATCGAAATTAGTACAAATTCCCAAGAAATATACTGTCAATGTGTTTATGATCAATCAAACAACGATTTGAAATAGTTTTCAGAAAAGTTTTAAAAACACCCTATTTAATTCAAAGTAGAAAGAAATATTACCATTGGAATGTTGAGCGGTGTAGGTGTGTATTTCAGATGTAGTTTTCCGTATACGAGAGTACACATCATCTGCTTGAGCGTTACTAGTACTGCTCACTGTTCGTAGGGGACTGTCGCTGCCAGCTAAATGAATAAAAAATAAATAAATCGTTATATCCATAGAAGTTCCTTCTGCATAATAATCACTTTTAGAGCGATTTGATATTATTTTTAGATTAATTGATCTTAGAAATTCCATCTTTTTATATTAACATAATACATATGTCGCAGTCAACTGGTTAAAACAGCCGTTTATTCAGACGCCTAATAATTGATTGATGACAAAATTAATTGCATTGAAAGTTTAAGCTTGTTTTTAATTCAGAAACAAATAAGATAATATAAATAAACTGCTTATATTATAGTATAAAGGAGTATTACTGTTTCTTAGATTATACGTGACTACTTCAAATTCAATATCATTTACTCAGTCTAAGCAACAGCAGTTTCTAACAACAAGCACATGTCAAAGTCGAAAGGTAAGCCAGCAGTTCGCAAATTAACGGCGGAAGACCTCGTACTGAGGAAAACAAAGAAACTTAGCAAGGGCAGCATTTTTCTCTGCTTTAATTCACACAAACAAGTCCAATTAAAAAATCAGCCAAATGCGAGTGGGACTCGCGCACGAAGTGTTCTGTATCTAAAATGAGCAATAAAAATTACGTTTCTTTTATGGGAGCCTCCTTAAACATTTATTTTATTCTGGTTTTTATTATTGTTGTTGAAGCGGAAACAGATATACATCATCTGTTAAATTTTCAACTGTCTAACTTTCACTGTTCATGAGAGACAGCGAAGTCTTAGTAATAGGGTTAATAAAAACGGAACATTAAAAATGATATAATGAATTAACTAGTTTTACTATCGAATGGTAAAACGAAATTGACATTATTTGTAATAATTAATTAATACTCACTACTTGATGTGCGACGGACGTGCTGTTGTACCACGCCATTGACTAAAGCTTGTGTTTCCGCCGGCAGCTCGCTCATGAGTGCTGTAAACTATTAACAAAACAACAATAATTAAAATATCAACGACAAAATATAAGTATTGTACCATGTTTTTATTGTACGTGACGCTATAATTTGCTGACTGCGCCCCGTACGACAGGAGTTACATAACGGAAACGCTACAGTTGTATCGGTAACGATACGTATCGTTAGGTTTCAATACCCGCATGCAACATTGGGATATTGCCCTAGGAACAGAATAATATAAATTTCATTGTGTTAATAATTATCATCAATCATCCAAATGTAATCCTTAAACGGGATTTATTGATCACTAGCTAACCAGAAAAAGACGTTGTCCTGTAATAATTATCAATATTAAATTCGATCAGTTTTTACATCCTACTTGACAATATTTGCAGCACACAAACGTCATAAGGTTACATTTAAAAAATATATATATATATTATATTAAGATTAGAAATAATTTTATATGGTGGTTAAATATTCTTTATTTTACAAATTTTCCACACAATTTTTTTCTTTCATGAGAACCTTCTCCTGACAATAACAAATACAAAAAAAGAATTAGCGAAATCAGTCCAGCTGTTCACGTGGGCGTGACCAAAGGAAATAGGGATTCATTTAAATATATATATCGGTTTAGTGACTTACCGGTACAGGATTACAGTCGTATAGGCACGCGAGCGCTCGTCTCGCGCACGTGCGCACGTCCGCCGCGCGCGGCTCCGCGGCCAACACTGACAGTTTAGCCAACGCCCGCCCCGCCACACCTGACGCCCCTCCTGTTGGACAACATGTGTCAAAATATATATTGAATTAACAGCCTATTTGAGACTAATGGTCAACGATGCTCATAATATATAGTTACGTAAAATTTTAGTCACTACTTATTTGTGCGTTTACACGTAATTAATCACTTAATATTAACTTCTTATCAACTTAATCTGCGTAAACCAACAATATTGACTGATTTACACGTGATTAATTAGATAAGGAGTAAGTAGATTTTTAATTTAATTTAAGTGATTAAGAACTTGTAAACATACAAACAGAATGTAGCAATTATCAATTAATTCTAATTAAGCTCATAAATTGCAAACAAAATTTTAACTTGCTAATTTTTACTGAGTTAACACGTACTTAATCTCTTAAAATTAACTCTACTTACTACTTATCTTTACGTGTAAACCAGCCATATGGTAAGACTAGCAAAATTACGTTAATTTGGCCAAATTACCAGCCGTTTGCTTCGGCCCTCCTCGCTTCACCGTACCGCATATACAGGCAAACCATCTCCATAACGTGTAGTGTTAGCAATCAAGTATATTCTATTTTAAGGAACCCACCTTGTAATGCTACGCAAAGGCTGTTAGGCGTGCAATAGTCGTGAGCTAAATCAGCGAGGAATCGAAGAGCCGCTACTTTCGTTTTGGTCGTCGGGGCGGTCGCTCCATCAGCTAGAAACCTTTAAATAAATATAAAACTATATAACATACATTGCTTTATTCACAACCAACATTGTGTAAGAAACCAGTCATAAATTAAGACACAAGTATTTCACGATTTTTTGACCAGATCTCCGCCCTTGTAACGCGCATTTGATTAAGTCCAAGGAATCATGTCCAATTTTGACCTAAAAATTTACCAACGCGTCTAGTGATGTGATATATCTCAAAATGCAGCTTCTTTTTTAATTATTTCATATCAGGAAATTAATACTAAAAATAGAGTCAGGATAAAAATTGTGAGATTGATAATTATTTTTAAATAGTACTATGATGACTACCCGAATGCGATTCGGACCCAATGACGGTTTGCTATGTTTCGTTTCATCTAATACGAAAAAATATTCTTTCGTTATAAGGTAAAAAAGTGCATTGCATTAAGGTTTATTGCCATATTGTTACATAGCGCAGCGGTACGGTTCGTCTATGCAGAAAGGGACAGTCACTGGGTTAGAAAGGGACAGTTAGCTAGAACTTTTTAGTAATGCCTCGAATGTTTTAGCTCCTAATCCCTAATCTAGAACATTCTAGACGTGGTGGTATTGGTCCCTACAAAAAGGAATAGGCGGTGGACTGCCCGTATTATTCAGTGAACAAGCGATCTGAAAGCAAGAGCGATCGGAAGCGATAACTAGTGTGATGATCTACTAGTGTTGTAAAGTGACCGTAGTGAAGATAAAGTGTGTATTTTGTTGTTAGTTCTTTTTGTGATTTTGTTAATTAAATGACGGATTGTGAACTTAATTGACGGATTGTGAAGTTACTTTTTATCCCGAACCCGAACACGTAACAACATCTACAAGCCAAACTTTAAAAAGTATATTATTACGAGTTTAGTTGATAGCTGTTATAACCTCAAAAACATATATGCAAATTACGAAAACCTCCGGTCTTCAGATGTTAAGATACTAAGATATTATTCTGTTTTAAGCAAAAACATATGACAGTTCAATCAATGTATGGAAAGTGGACATGATTATTTCGATTTAGAAATATGACATCACATAATTTAAGGTTCCTTGACCCTCCATTGTGTGATTTTTGGGTGACATTTATGTATAAGAAACTTAAGAATATTCAATAGCTCACAACATAATGAAAAAAAAAAGTATTTTTTTACCTAAATATGTTATGGAGTTGTAATTCAGCTGGGAAGCATTCATGTATCACGTCCAAAGTCTTCATGATTTTGCTCTGCACCGATCCTAAGATGTCTGTACCGAGTTTCATTAGTAATCTATGGACAAAAATCATAATTGGATATACGTTATTTTAATAATATAAATATCAAACACTGCAAATATAAAAATAGAAGGAAATGTCATTAAATTTAATGTTTAATTTAGTGTAATTTAATTTAGTGTAGGTGCACCAGCAGCAAACCAATTAAATATACCCAATTATGATGATATAACTAAATTATTGCAACAACCATTGCGAAAAAAAAATCATTGTACTCCTCACTCAACATAAAATCATGTAGCTTGGATAAGCAACCTGATTGTTATTATAAGCTAATTTTTATAAAGAAAAGAATGATGTCCCTGTTGTGTACCAGGTTGAAGATGGCATCTATATAACTTTTAGTTATTATCACATGATTGGTAGAATTATGGCTTTATTCGTGGATTTCAAAATTGAAATGGTGTACTTCTGGTTTGACCACCTAAATTAAGTTCTGGCTGCATCTACAGTCATAAATATTACGAAGTTCTGAAATCAAAATGAGTGACTAATTGACTTCATCTAAATGGAAGGCCTGCGACCCCGCAGTGGCAACATTAACAGACTGATGATGTTGAGACAGACTGACATACAAAAATCACTAACCTGAACATTAATTGGTACAGCCAATCCTTGAGTTGTTGCCAATGCACTAGCAGTAGTTCGCACACTGCGTCCAATAATAAGGAGAACACTTTGGTGTGAGCGTCAACGAACATTTTGTTAAGTAGTTCGGTTAGACGACGCAACTGATCTTCGTTCAGTAGACGACCGCTATTCAAATAGTTGGCCTGTTCAGAGTTATAAAAACATTATTCTTTAGGACATAATCCTTTACAACATATTCTTTAGGACATACTGCTGTTTGTTATTCATTATGGTTTCCGCTAGAGGCGCTACTGTGATTTGTGGAATTCATTTTCGGAAACGGTAACGTAATTAATTTTCGAAAACTATAAAACTTGTACTAAAGGTAATGTTCCATGTACCTTTTATTGAAGTATGTTTTTTTTTTCTTTCACTTATTGAGAATAGCTTTTGATTCAATTTGAAGGTTCAAAATTAACTGCGCAAGTTTGACGTATTATAGACCTGACGTTTTGCTGTGTACTTCTTTCAAACGTTGCAATTTATACCTTGTAATAGGACGTATTACTGCATTTTTTGTCGCTAGATTGCATTACTAGCACAAATAGTATACAGTCCTATTGTAAACGTCAAACATCATTCACAGATTAATAAGCAGAGGAGCATACAGTGAAGATAGAAAGAGTTTAATATTTCTCGAAAAAATAAATTAGAAATAGTGTAATATTATCCAATGCAACATCATTGCCGCATATTTTGATGTAAGAAGGAATGGAATCACTCGTTCCCAAAATACGTTTTCGGTATTTTTTGTTTGTAACTACATGTTTCTCACACAATTTTGTTGGTATTTTACATTTCTCCCTGTAGGTATATGAAGTATTGACTCACCAAATGTGTGAGGCCATCTTTCCTTTCTGTCCAATGTGTGCACGCGCATAGAGCGATGATGTCGTCTGGGGGAGGAGGTGGAGGGGGGGAACATTCCCACCCGAGCCGACCAGAACCCGTCCATGATACACTCTGTTCAGGAAAAATTATTCAAACGGCTCAATTCAATATGTTACCTATTTAAATGGAAAAAGTAAATAAGAAATTGAGAAACCTCTTGCTAGTAAAATATGGATAATTTAAAAAAAAACGGCTTCAAGAAAAAAGTGGAATTATATTCGAATACATAAAAAAAATATATGTGAAGATTTTGTTTCATGAACCTTAGTTTTCATCAATGAATATAGAAAAGAAAAGAATAGTAATAATACATCGACAGTATAATTATACATTTGCAAAAGAGTTACGAAAACTACTAATTTTCGAGTTACGAAAATAAATCTCACATCGTGTCTTCTGTAAGAGTCGAGGCTTCTTTCGGAACAAACGCTGGATGCTTCAGAATCGTCGTCTCTGACTCTGCTGCCGTCACACACCGAACTGTCTTCGGGACTCTACAACAATACATTATTTTAGATCAGGGTTTCGCAACCTTTATTGTGTCGGGGCACTCGGAAAATAAATATTTCAATGAACAAAATCTCCTGCATTTGCATATACAGCGATAGATAACGTTGGGTTTTGAAACAGTGGTCAACTGAAACTGTGATCTGATTGTAATTTATTCTCCATCAATGTCACTCATAAAATAGTGAGAACGTGGGCTTAATGGTTGTGCTATATGAACAAAAGTGCAATATTATTTTGTTACTTTACTAGGCACTTACCCTTAATACACTTTCAGCATCCCTCGTCTGTTGCAACAGCCTTAATGTAGCAGTTGGAGCCCTAGACGGAGCAGTCCTCTCTACAGATTCTCTACGCCTTATCATCGATCCAACTACACTGCTGGATCGACCCGTTCTATGGTAAATATATAAAATAAAATTTTTATACCAAATAAATATATTTTTTAATCATATGTAATCCTAATCATACACCATGATTTTAAAATTAATGTTAGATCTAAGAACACGAAGTTAAATATTTTGAAAGTAGATAATTTGTTCATATATGATTAGCTAATAAAAATAATAATAGTATTTATTTTGTCTATTTCACAAGACAAAATAAATCAGAGAAACTCAGATTAATCCAAAATACCTTGACATTAGATCGTCTGTTGATAGACGATTTGTCAACAAAAGCCAGTTGGCTGTGTGCAACATATATAATACCTGGTGGGGCTAGTTTCCCTCGACCCTGCGAGAGATCGTGGGATTCCGGAAGGTCTTCTTCGCGCGACCAATGACGCCGGTCCACTGCTTCGCGATGAGGGAGATGACGATCGAGATGTTGCTGTACATCAATAATATATATAAGTGACATTCGCTCGATGTCGCAGTGTTTAGCATAGCTGAAAAAACTTTGTTACCGAATTTTTTTTTTATTAAAATTAGTTATTAAGCAACATCAAATGTAATGTGTTAAGCAAGTTTACTGCATACATATATTGACTTCAAATTGGTTGACATTGGATTCAAAGTTCACTCAACGTTCAATATCATATTGATTGTCGAGTGTTTTTGATTCATTGCGATGTACATCTTCTATCAATTATCAAAACTGATTTTATTTTCTGGGAAAAATCTATTCAAATTATCATAGTCACGTTTACGGTTAATTTACTTACGTTGTGATTGTGAAACACCCGGTCTTGATCTGGAACGACCAACCACCCTTTCTGGACTGGGCGGGACTCCGGCAGCGGTCCCACTAACAGGCGACCGCTTGGCGCGGGCTAAGTTAAATAAAGACGAATAAAAGTCATAGACTCTACTACTTAGAAGTAGTATTATATCTGATCAGCTAATACTATAAATAAGTAAACCTTATTTTGTATAGCTTTGTGTATAATGCTCTGTGCTCACATATAGTTTTACTCGATCGAGCAAAATCGTTACGCATTAATTCAATGTGTTCAACAAAGAGAGCACTGGTTTCATTTTGTTTTTATTTATTTATTATCTAAGTTCGAATAGCGGAGACGAAGAGTTCATCTTGACGGCTCGTTTCGAGTTCAAAGGAAATCATATTTATTTAATTTCATCAAGCCAACTCGATGCGAGCGTTGGAGTTGGGGGTTTTGTGGTCTACATATTGACTTTTATTTGTTTTGGAGTAAAATAATCGAGTCATATAGTATGTGAGTAAGGAACATAACATCTATATATACATAACATAACATCTATTTTAGAAATACCAAGTTAGAACCATAATTTCGTCAAGTTTTAGTCGCCAAATCTTTTGGTTAATTTATCGGGCGACCATTACAGTTAGGTAGACATTGACACCCTGTAGGCGTAGTGGATATAGCGATTAGTAACTCACGTTTTAAATATGCAGATAGTTATTAATTTTAAATCAGTTTAAGTTATCACCAAGGTGTAATGAAAATGTTATAGCAACTTTCAATATTTTACAATTCGAATAAGTAGGTTTAACACTTTTTCATCTTTTGACAGATATTCTTTTATATTTGAACTAACGGGACTCGAACCCGTTCCGTTAAGCGATTAATGAATGGACTGGTTTTAGTAAAAGGCAATTAACGATGAAAAATAACTAAGAAAAATACTACAAAACATAATTCATTAAAACCTTACAGACTAATAACTAAATAATACCTTGCTGAGCCATTTCTCCCTCTTGAGTCAGGCGTTAATAATTAATTGATATTAAAAATATTGATAATCATATTTTAAATAATTCAAGTCTATGAATATTATATAAGGGACGGACAAATTAACACGACAACTAACTAGAATGACGTTTGTGCAAAGTACAGGGTGCAAAATAGTTGTCATTTTGAAATTATTAATATATTTTATAACAATTATTAAATTTTACTTTAAGAAAACTCAACAAGAACGTATAAATATTACAAAACTCTGATAACAACAACAACGGCAAAACAATAGCTCAACATTTCGAAAGTACAAAGACATCACATCTACTGCCCATCTACTTAAGTAATAGTCCAGTCTAACCTGCGGTTGCCTGGAAGAAATTGCTTTATAGCGATAAGGCCGCGGATTGTACCACTAAATTGTATCGATTCTCATTTTGTTTAAATATGGTGTACAATAAAGTATTCATTCATTCATTCAGTTATGCTATCGTTACTGAACTACGGGGTAGCGCGGAGAGTATGGAGTTCCAAGCAAAGAGTAATGTTAATTCGTCCTACTTATAGAAGTTATATGATATAATTTAATACTTATTTATAGTCTTTTTAACACAGCATGGTTAAAGTGACGTTTTAGTGATTTGGTAATAAAATATATATAAAGATTTGGAGGTCAATGTATAAAATAGGATTTAAGTATAATATGAACCAGAAGAGAACCAGCAAAATACAAAATTTTATTATAGTTAACTTTAATTGTTACGACAACAATAATTAAAAATTGACATATGATTATAGAGTACATATTTCGATTAAAACGATTTCATTGAATCAATCACTATTTAAAAAAAATGTTTACAAGTATAGATGTTTTAAACTAAGAGCAATTATGGCTATTAAAAATGTTTTTATGTAAATTTAAATAAATATCTAATTTATACACAGTCAAAATATTTTTTATAACGATGCATTTTAATTATTTGGATGGATGAAATGGGTTTGTTAACAAATGTCACAGTACCCATGATATGTGAAACGGATATGTTGATATACTCACGCAGACTGGCAGTGCCGGCGGCCATCTTGGCTCTGCTCATGTGCGAGTAGAGCGCTCGGGCCCTGGCTCTCTGAGCTGCCGCCGCGTCCACGGCTGATACTGAACGAGCCGCGCCCCCCGATCCACTCGGAGAACGATCTATCCACGAATATTATACAAAAATCGTACAATATTAAAATAAAAATCAAATTAAGTAATTCTAGGTAATCCACACAAGGCTGTTCAACGTCTTTGGCAGTTGGACTACCTAAACAGAGAATTCATAATTTGATGGCGGTCGACCGAAATTCTTATTTAGTCTTAAGATAAGCGCAATTAAACCCAATATTAAATTCAAAAAAAAAGAAAGAAAGAAAAATGTGTCAATTTCAGTCTGTTTTGAGTTTTTTTTTTTAACTTAATTGTACTATATAATACTATGAATATGAAAATAACTAATTTAACTCTTTTATATATCGTTACCAGTGATCGGAATAGGTAGATTGTATTCAGGATATTGATCTCTAAATGTGTGGACATTTCTGCAATTTTCAATGATAATTATGATTTTTCCGGGTATGTTATGTATTGTATGAAAACTTAAATATATTCTTAAAAATGTTTTAATACCTTACTTTCAATTTAAAAATGATATATTCAATCCGGAAATATGTCTTAAACATGCTATTCCATTAGTATTTAAGATATAAGTCCCGTAAATTGCTAATGTGCTGGACCCTTTCTAAATAACTCCCACGTGACGTCATATGAAAATAGAAAGTCTAGATAGCGCAAAAGGCAGATTGTCAGCCCAAAGTATTGTTAAAATAATTTTATAACTTTTAGTTTGTATATTTATTGCAAGATTTAAAAAAAAATAATCAATACGTATGTTCATTAATATTGACGTATTTAATAATAATAATAAAAAAAAACATTTACTTTGTAATAACGTGATAAAACACAAAAACAGAAAGGACATTTCTTTAAACATAAACAAAAGTAATCATACAATTAGAGACATTAGATATATTTATTAGAAGTAAATTTTGTTTACTTATTGTGAAAATCATCATGGCAGTTGCTGTTTTAGATAACCATAACAAGTAATAACAACACTTTACAATAACATTCGAAACCAACAAAAACAACAAAAATGATGAGTTATCTCAACACAACCCAACTCAATAAGTAAACTTGTCAACCAGTGTTTATTTGTTAGCGGTACTTATTTTGGAATGCAAATACGTCATGAAAATGGCGGCCAGGCGCATTTGCAATTTGCAGGGATTACACCACAAATCAATCTACTCCAATCACTTATCAACGTACACGATTAAAGAAATTTATAATTTTAGTGTAGTTCATACAATTTATAATTGATAAAATTCATAATAACGATAAATAAATCACGGACCTCTCATTGCTACTGGTATATGAGATATTGGTGGTCTTTCTTGCGATGCCCTACGTCTCCTTAGGGAATTCGTCCTGCTCACACCCGATACTAAATTTTCGGTGGAAGCTTTATAAACAAACCGTTAACATCCAAGCAGCGTGAAATAGAGATTTTTTCCTTAATTAAAACATTTCTTTAACATATGAAAGCATACATATATTTTTATAAGGATTGTGAACATAAATGTGGGAATGAAAGGAGAGGAAGACTGTGCCATTGTCATTGTGAATGTCATTTTTCACATGATGTCAAATATTTCCTCTTTCATAATTTGAAATAATACGTCATATAATATTAATACACACCTGATACACTTGCTGATGGACTTCTTGGACTTGTGATGGCTTGTCTCTCTAAACAAAAAAGAAAGTTCGATTACATACAAGCACAAACATAAAATATAAATTAACACTCATTTCTATAAAAACTATTAAATCTATTATGAAAAGTTTAATAAAGTTTTGAATAAATATGACACTAGATAATTAACTGATAACAGGGTTTATTAAACTCAAAACTTGATCAATATATTGAGTACGAGCGAAGTGTTTGGAAGGGATATAGTAAGCGATGGCAACGCACGGTATGGCAAAATTGTGTAACAAAAGGGGTAAGTGTAACTTGTCAAACGTTGTTTTGAAGATGGTTCATTATTCTTGTTGTGTTATAAACTGCAAAAATACCAGAGGAAATAGTCAGTGTAAATTCTATATTTTCCCAAAAGCAGCCTGGAAAATAGATCAATTAAATGGATAGCTGCGGTTTAAAGAAAAAAGTAAGTGACGTTGGACATAACCTTAAATACAATTACCTACAATATTAATTTAAATAATGTTATAGGATATTTACTAATTATGGTATTTTTGTTTGTTGTATAGTGATGATGGATCGCCATGGCATCCAAAACCCGACGACAAAGTATGCAGTGAATATTTCATAGGAGGCAAAAAATCAGATGCGCAAGCAAGTCCAAGTTATGTGCCCATGATACTACCCAAAGTATATCGAAAGAGGAAGGTTAACGAGTCACATGTACAAGCAAGATACACGCTTGATTAAGCGAAGAACCAAAAAGCTACAGCAGATATCTCGGAAATCTCGGATACCACAACAAATGAAATAATAATGGAAATATAAAATCAAACTCAACCTCATCTGGCGAATCAAGGATGTCAAGTTAATATCTTTTCTGAAATCAATTTAATAGTTTTATTACACTGATCACTGTGATGCAGAAATTCAACTCACAAATAACAGTACAATTTGGTTTTCCTATCAGAATTGATTAAATTTAATTGATACAATGATGTAGTTTTAGCAGATAAAGGTTTTCCTGCAATTAAACAAGTTCTAGATCAAAGTGGCCAAGAAATTAGAGTTATTATGCCTCCATTTTTATCGAAGAAAAAACTGAAAAGTCTTATGATATTGCTCAAGTAAGAAATCATGTCGAAAGAATTATGCAAAGATTAAGAATATACCAGGTTCTTGATAAAATTCCACATAATTTATTTAATTGTATCGATGATATTTTACATGTATGTCGTGTTTTAGTTAATTTATAGCCTACAATATTCTCTAAGAGTAATACTGTTGTAAAATGTAAATAAAACCAAGCTTTCAATAACATGTTTTTTATTTTATCAAGTATTGCACTTTACAGATCTAAACTATTCCTTAAAGTTTAACTATGATAGGTACTATATTATTATTTACTTAAAGTTATTTTATGTTTTACGCTCTCAAAACCAGTTTTAATAATCACATCCCCATCCCTTTAATTATTTTAACAAATATCTATTAAAATACATTTTATTGTCTTTCTATATATTTACTTTATTTATTTTATAACAAAAACATTATGCACTTGCCATTCACTGTTTGACATACTCCCCTTTTGTTGCGTTTACATAGTGGCGCTGGTGTCATGCAAGTGTCCAATAATGTAACATAGCAATTTTACTCGACTGGTTTTGAATTAAATTTTAATGCATTAAGGTTTACAATCCTATTTCCTATCAGAAGATTACCCTGGTTTTCTATTTTCATTTCTCAGTTCTCGCGCTCTGACTGTTGCTTGTGTTTTGAGCATTTTGATTGTTCAATATAAATATTAGTGTTAATTCGCTGTTACAACTGTTTTCTTATTTTTTTTTAATATAATTTTTTTAAATTCTTAAATGTTTGTATGTCGAGTTGTATGCAGAATCTGCATTTAATGTTATGTTTTTCATCCAATGTAAGGTTGCTTGTAAGAAATTGCTAGCGGTAAGGCCGCCTTTTATGGTAAATATCTAGGTATGTCCATGTCATTTTGATGTTGTGCAACAAAGAGTATTTATATTATAAAATCAAGCTATTAAAGACTAAGAAGTAAAACAAGGAAATACTATGGAACATTCTACATAATGTACAGATAATTGAAATTTGAGTTTTGTATAATCTGTCCTGCTGTTGATATGTTTTATACAAAATGTCACATTAGTACAACTGAATTTCTACTTAAATAACTTCTAGAATAAACTGAATAAATTGCATTATTAATATTACTACAGAAATAGATTGACTGTGTAATAGAGGTTTTGTTTGAGACTTTCTAAGCGGTATATTTATAGCGAATGTTAGGTACCTGTGCCGAGATGAGTGAGACTGTCGACACTGCCGATATGTCTCTCCCTCTCAATCTGTTTCTGTGCGGCGATGTCTAATCTAGCGAATAATTGCTCCGCGTCTTCGGGGAAGTGTCTTTTGTACGCCCAATACGCTCTGTCGAAAAATAATTTATTTTAAATTATATTTTATAAAGAGTAGAATTTATGAAGATTTTATAATATGGGTGGGCAATGTACACACGACTGGACCATAATATGTTAACTTCCACAGTCGATTTTAAACTATACACACAAAGCATTAAGGTATAAAATCAAGAAGGAAAGCTAAACCATTTGAGCTTCAAATATATGTCTTACAATAATCACAAGGGAATTCGGCAAGATAAAACTTGATTCTATTAAATACATCTACACCTTCATAAAAGCTTACCGATTTATAAGACCCATGACGTAATTTTGCAACATAACACGATTCTTACCGTCTCCCGTAAGTCCTGGCTGTACTGTCTGCGTCAACGCAGGCGCGTCTTATCGCGTCTTTGATTACTTGTTGCTGCTTTTCTATGGATTGCGGAGACCATTTCTCCAATAACAATACCAGCACCTCACTAAAAAGTGTTATAAAATAGAAATGTGTAATATCTATGTACTAATTTAAATTTTACGTAAGATGATATAAGGGGGTCGACCTTGTCTATTTGTTTTAGTTTTTACGCAAGATCACAAAAAAACTGGCAAACATCGTCTTAAGAATGGATGACCCCTTTCTTGCTATGAGTATTTAGGTAACAGTGTGAATTATTTGAATCAATTACGTGCAATTATAATATATATAGAAATAAAACTAAGTAATAAAATGAATCTACAAAGTCTCACCTGAGCGTCGATCGTATTTCTTTAGACTTGTTTGTGGTTAGATTAGTCGCTATGACCGGGACCAGTCTTGGTGAATGTACGTACAACACAATGTATCGCACACACACTGTACCCGCCGAGGAAACAACCTGTCACAAAAGAAATAAAGAGTACCTTATGAGTTCACTTTTTAAGTCTATTTTAGCAAGGGTGGAAAAATACGTGATTAAACTACTTTGTGAATCTTTTATATACCTAGATATTTTTTTATTCTATCATATATTTTATCATACATTTACTCGGATTTTATTCAACAGATAATTTGCTACAAGCGATTACTACATTCATGCTCTTTTAAGGTCATAGTGACGTATTTATGTGTGCCAACAGATGGCGTGAATGTTCAAATTTGATGCTTTTAATACCAGTGCCAGTTTCCTTTTTTATAGCATAATTATAATGGATTCAATACCTCGAAACTAAAATTTAGTAATGACTATGAGCATTAGTAGGGAATATGCTAATATTACCTTTGCTGCATTCTGGATAAGGTTGATAAGCTCTTGTAGAATGTATAAGCTGAATTGTTCCAGCTTCGTCTTGAGCACTTTCGCCATGTGAGCTATCGTTATACAGGCTTCGCGAACCACCTAAGAGATGTGATATGTTGAAGTGAGTCTTATGACTTGTGGAATAAGGGATAAAATAATGTTTTGAGTTACCAAATCAATTATTGTATATCATCATCATAAGATATACTTTATTATGTATTGTGACCTTGACATTTGTCGAATCATCGACAGTGGTCATTACTGATCGATGTTAAACTGATAAGTACTTTATATTAGTGTTTCTCAAAGTGTGCTTGATGAAAATATAGTCAACGAAATGAATGGTCACATTTCGGCAAATGATCATTTGCAAATATGTTTTGTTTTATTTTAGGACTCTGATTAGTTCCAAATGGGTTCCATCGCTACAAAGGTTGAAGGGCCACGGTCATTCCGGGTTATATAGATATACAACTTTTTAAAACTAACTACATCTTAGGTTCATATACACAAACAAAATCATCCTACCGACTTGCGAGTCTAGTCTCGAGTGACTGAATATTTATCTTTATTATCTGACTTTTACAGCGGTCCACCGGTTTACAGTGTGTTTACCGGTTTACCTTTCAAAGTCATTTTTCGCTAATGCAACAAAACTGGTTCTATAGCAAAACAAAGTGTTTCTTACTTGACTCCTGAGGTCCTTTATGACGACTAGAAATGGAACGGAGAGTTCTTTTAGGTGAGCCGCGAATTCCGCAGGGAACTGAACGTGGGCATTCGCGGCTAGCAGTGAGCGGATTTTCTTTAGCTGTTAATAAAGTTTAAAACAAATTACAATTATTTGATTCTATGAACTGGCGTGAAGAAAAAGAACATGAAGAATATTAGCTTTTCAGTGTCAATTGTCGATGTATTTTTTTTTATTTGTTTCGATGGAAAATAATTAAACCAAACTTATTCTAACCACACATTGTTCAATTTATGTGACCACCTGTGTGATATTTATGTGTAGGTATCCGTTTGCCTGTGTGAAAGTAAGTATTTTGCTTTTTGTCTGTCTATTAGTGTCTATGGGTGTGTCATTCAATGTATGTGTGTATATGTATAGTTTCCGCGTCTACTCTCTTCTCCCAGTCAGCGGCGCGGTCGCCCAGTAACGCGGCGGATGTCGACACAAGTCGTCTAATCCACGCGCAAAAGTTACCATCTGTTTGTCAGTGTAATTGTGTATGTCTGTCTGTTGTGTCTTTTTGTTTGTCTATTAGTGTGTATATGTAGTTGCCGTGTAGACTCTCTTCTCCCAGTCAGCGGCGCGGTCGCTCAGTGACGCGGCGGCGTGTAGGCACAAGTCGTCTAATACACACGCAAAAGTTCCCATTGTTTGTCAGTGTAATTATGTCTGTTGTGTTTTTCGTCTGTCTATTAGTGTCTACGGGTGTGTCATGCAATATGTGTGTGTGTGTGTATACATGTATAATTACCGCGTCGACTCTCTTCTCCCAATCGGCGGCGCGGTCGCCCAGCAGCGCGGCAGCGTGTCGACATAAGTCGTCTAGTCCACGCGCGCCATATACAGCGGCGGGGGCTACACTTGCGAACGCCGCTTCGAACGCCTCCCACGATACCGCGCCCGCCTCCCCGCCCGTGCCCCCAGCCCCGCTCGACACTAATACGGTAATAAAAACTTCATTACCTATACAGTAAAACCACGTTTATAAGTTATATCGATGTACATTGAGAAACAACTGGTATGCCCGCGAAGAAGGCTTAATTTAGAAGCGCAGCAAATGTCGACCAATGAGAATGTTTCAAGTGCCACAAAGGGTAAATACGGCCACCTAAAACCTTACATTTTTCATAATATGATTGTTGAAACAAGACTCATCGGAATTGGTAGGGTGTTTTGCGTAAACGAAGATTCACCTTACGCCATATTATTTAGAACTTACTGTATCCGGACCGAAGTATCATTTTTAAAAGACTTGAAAATAAAATTGTCAAAAGAAATTACGAATTTACGCATGATTATCCTGGCCTGGTCGATTCCTATTGGATTAAATTATATGTTTGAAAGGAATCGGTATTCGTAATCCATGACGAATTTGTTGATGCTACTTATAAAAACGGCAATAATGACCGCAATACGGCTTACTCGATATTTTCTATCGAATTACTTCAACTTGACTTTTACTTAAAATATATATAATATGTAGTTTAGTTTGACAGTGAAAAATTATTGATCAAAATGATACTACTTTACGTGTTACAATATAAAAAAAATAGAAAGAATTAAAATATAGTGTAGCTTTAACAATTACGTAAAATGTTCAATATAATCTTAAATAAAATGAAGTTGATAATTTATAAGCATTTGTATTATAGTTGCAACAGTAGCTGAAAAAGTTCCATTTTAATGTTAGATTATTCCTATTATTTACTTACCACTTCCGGCACTGGTTAGTTTGGCTGGTGGAGGCGGTTTCCTATTTGCTGACGGTAGACTGTATAGACCTGGGACTGTACGCTTTGGCACTTCACACGCTATTCAGAGCCGTTTATTTAAAAGATACGGTCGTGTAGTTTTAGAGATAGTTTAGGCAAACGTATTTTACAATTAAAAAGGTTAATGAGTAGTTTTGTATGAGACGTGTATATAAATAGTAACAATTGGATTGTATATGTGTTTAATAATACATAGCATTTGAAATATGTTGAATGATATAAAATGTATTATGTTGGTGTGGTTGTTACAATAAAGAGGTATTATAATAATTTAGTTGTTTATTTCATAATTTTCATCAGCGACATAGTATATATATAAATAGTATAAGTTTTAGCGAAATATATATTTATAATAAAACATGATTTATAAAATAAAATTGAAATAAGACAAAATTTAATATATTATTTTAATAATTTAGCATGCATTTTAAATTATAAGGTTTTTAGTAATTATATTATTAATGAATTAAGATAGCGATGTTTGAATTTATGTTAAAGTAATAAAAACAAATATTTATGTTATTATAACGTTAAGAATGTAATTATTATTGATATCAAATATATAATATGTTTAGATTGGGTGATGAGAATTTTATTCGTGATGGGTTGTAATGATCACCGGTGATGAATTAGTCCCAGGCGATGGAGTTACGATGAATCCAGACGCGAAGATGGGAGGCATGGCGAGAGAAGAAAAAAAAAAACTATTAGTGCAAGAAAACGTGTGTACTTTATAGATATAACTTTTAGATTCATTTTAGCTGAGTTAACAAGATGGAAACAAAGAGGTTCTCTCGTTTTTATAATATGAATATGCTTGTGTTTGAACCCAGTACTGTTAGTTCATTATTCGTTGAAACAACTATAGCTTATTTTATTTAGTCTTTATTGCTTATTCACAATTTTTTTTACAAATAAATTAGAAGAGTTAACGAGTGAAAGAGATGTCAAGTTCCACGGAATTATAGAATGCGTAAATTGAAATACTGACCTGGTGTGGAAGCTCCCGAACTGTCCCCATCCCGAGACCTCGCTGAAGTGGGTATGGTCATTGTTCTTTTCGCACTTCGTGATATGAAGTCAGGTTCGTCGGCTCCTTGTGTCGCTAAAACACAAGACATTACTTAAAATATGCACTCCCAATACAATATAAATTTTACCCATGTCAGTTATCTTTTGGTGTCAAGGTTCATTATGAGGTATATACAGTGCCCGGCCCGAAGGTAAACCAGGTAGAGATAGTGTTTATATTTCTTACCTGTTGGTAACAGAAGGCCTGCTTCGCGGGCCTCGTCAAACTTTTGCTCCAGAAGCGCTAGTTTTTGAGCAGGAATAAGTTCTTTCTTTTTCAAATCTGACCTTAGTCTTTCACCTTTAACAAAAACAAAATATGTAAGTCAAAACGATAACCTCTTTTTTGAAGTCTGTTGAAATTGTCCAGTACGTTATTTGCCCTTCTGATATGATTTAGTTCGTAAGCTGAATAGGCTACACTTTACCTAGATTAAAAATTGAATACTGCTACGAATGGTTTCATATAGTATTCATAAAAACTACCAAAAAATATTATTTTGTCCCTCAAATACTTCTATTTTTTAGTATTTATTTGTTGTTATAGCAGTAATAAAAATACATACAGGTGTTACTAGGAGCCTTTTACCCTTTGGGTTTGGAATTCTAATATCTTCAATGCGTTGGATGAGATCATTTTGTTTGTTTTTTCATTCTGAACAACAGAAACGCACGGGTAGTTTCCGAAACGAATGTGTATACTTACATCTCCGAGTCTGAATTCTTGATTAGGAAAATGAAGAAGGAAAACGAACGTAATCCTGGTGTACCTTAATCTACCATTGGTCACGGTCAGGGGTAAATATTGTTTGATTTATTCTTACCAACGTGTCTGTATACATCTACGAGAAGTTGCATAGCGGCATCTCTGACGGCGCTATTGGGATCGCCCACTAGCGCCGCCAGGTTGGGAACAGCGGCGCGTAGCTGCAACTCTGTGGCACCATGTCTATATAAAAAGATAATTTTATCAATTAACGTTTAGCATTGAAAGGGTCGCCACAGGCAAGTATAAATTTTAAAAAAAATTTACTTGCTCAGATATCAAACTGGTTAGCTAAAGCCCTGAAAAACCAGGATATCTGAAATAACCAAGGTAACATAACCACCTAGACCTGATACAATGTCGATCCAAATTTTTTACATTGAGTTGATGATCGGAAATCGAAATCAAAATTCCAACAACGGTGATACCTTGAAACTGATGTGTGAACCATTCGGCCGCAGTTGAAGCACCCATTAATCCAATTTTCTTATAGAGAAAATGGACTATGAATATCGAGTCCTAATTCAAGGTGTCGCCATCTCTGAGGTGGCGGGTTCGTTTCCAGATGGGCTCAATATAAAAAAAATAACGTTTCTATACTGTTTCAGGTTTGGGCATGATGTTACCTTTCTTGTTTCAGATTTTTATAATACGAAAGCTTTAATTAGTTATTTGGGATCTGAGAAATGTATACGATATTGTCTTATGGTAGAATATGATAAAAACGGTTGTTTGGTAAAGATAAATAAACGGAAATGGATAACGCAATGATTAGCACTTTTGGAGTATGGAATTTATGCAATTTTTGCAATGGCCAGTCATAAGATTGGTGACCTATACATGTGTTGTCTCAAACTCCGTGTTTAATTAAGCCGTTGGTTCCAGCTGCATGTGCAGTCATTAATGCCCACCAATCCGCTCTGGCCTAGCTCGTTACTAAATAATATGGTCCATTCTGCCATTTTGATTAATTAATTGGCTCATTCTTCTTTGATGCTATCCGTTAGTTTGGCAATCATTATTGCAATCACCGAAAACGACATTTATCTTGAAATCGAAGAGCCAACTACTCGGCTACGGAGCTCGTCTATCTTTGCATATTCAAACAGATGGGATAACACTATCTTCTTTCTCTTACTATTCGAGTAACATAACGTCTCCAGGCCTTTTTTATAAGTCGGGAAAAAGGCTTGCAGGCCAATTACATAACGTTTACGTAATAGTCGCATCTCTATAAAATGTCAACGACTTGAATTTTGCCATTATAATACCTACCTTAAGTCTAATATTATTAGTGCAATGTAACATGAAATGCTAATACGACTACAAAGAAACGCATTTTTCGATAACTTTTGATGTAATGAAAGTAGGACCTTTGCTTCTGATGCGCAGATAATCTTCACGGTCAAGAATTTGAAACTATCCGAATTTTCTCTCGAGATCAAATATAATAGGCTCTCAAGTATCATGTTAATACGGGCGTAGACAGTAAACGAAAACAGATACATTTATTTTACATATACATATTATTTTTTTCTGGTAATGTTTAATATACTATTATCGATAATTACACATTTTTGATTATTATATGTATAATTGTGTTAAAAAATAAAATCTTAAGAGAATTTCAACCTAATGCATACAGGGAACGATATTCGTTTCAGAGTGCCTTGACGTCATAGCGACGCCATGACAGATGTGGCGTTTTCGCGGGAAATTTTGAAAATTAAATTTGTTTTTAGATATATCACATGTATATCAATAAAATAAATATATCTAAAAAGTTGTCTACACCCCTATTCGTACGAATTATCGAATTATATTTAAAAGAATTATAGTTACACTTACGTGTCTAGTAGCGTCTGTATGCAGCGCACCGCCTCCTCCCTGGTGTGTGGAGCTTTGTGCTGCAGCGCGGGGGTGAGGCGCGCCAGTAGAGCGCGGGGGGGCGCCGCTCTACTCTCGCCTAGAGCTGCGAGACACACGCGGGCCATATGGCGGACACCCTCCCTAGTGTCCGCTAGTCTACAAATAACAAACGCACAATGTTTGTGTCATGGTCTTATCAGAGTGATAAGATTTACGTTTACGTTAAGAATCTGATCTGAATCTGAGATTTGTAATTCTTCGTAGGTACCGGGTTCCATACTGACCTTTTAACGTAACTTGAACATAAAAAAACGTACACTAAGCGTTCAGATATCATCAGCGTCCTTATAATATATAGATTGTAAATATTTAAGGTTCACTGTACTATGACAAAAGTGCGAGCGCAATAGCAATAACTTTGAGCACGAGTGAAAGAGATATGTAGTACCGGGTTGTACAACACCCTTTTTGTTCGGCGACCGTGCTGTTGCTAAAACCATTTGATCCAAGCGGCATGTTTCAGCGATATTGAATATAATTCATAAATTTTCTCATATGCTCACGATATACCTATCGAAATTTAATGAGGAAGTATTTAAAAAAATACGAAAGCACTAAAAAAGCACCTCCACTAGATGGTGACTCTAGCAAAAGAATGGACCGAAGACAGTCATTTCCGTTTCTTTTAACTAACATATTAAAAAACTGAAATTTGCAAAGTTCGAAACTTAGATATCAATACAAATACGAGAAAGTACAAATAGAATATGAGTTGTTTATTAAGTTTTAAAATCTAATTTACTTTTATATATGAAAGAAAACCGGAAGAATTGTCATGGAGAAATCAATAAAGTACCGTAGCGACATCTAGTTTGATTTCTGGAACTAATGCTTTTTTTAATACTTCCTTTGCATACAAAGAGTTTCCTTTGACTTGAGATATTGTGTATAATATGACTGTTATAAATATTTTTAAGGAAAACAGAAAATTATTATGAAACTGACATCAGTTTTGTATTAAGTTTTAATTAAATTTTAATTGTAGTGTTTATTTTTTTAATCTAGTTGGGTGTACGTAATAATATAAGAAAGTAAAATCAATTCCATTCAAAATAATATTACATTCACCCTGAAAGTTGAGTAAGGAGTTTATTCAACAGCCTGGTAACATTGCCAGTCTCTTTTGAGCGCGCGACGCTTCGACATACTTTGTCACACAGAAAATGGGTTTCGGAATCATATCGTTTTCACGAAACGCTTTAATGCAAGAATAAATTAATAGCTTTATTACCTACATTTAAAGAAAAAATATGTTATGTGCTCATTTTTTATGAGTCATGGAGAAATCAAGAATGTATCGTAGCGACATCTAGTTTGATTTCGGGAACTAATGTTTTTTTTTTAATACTTCCTCATAAAAGGGTCTCCTCGCTGCCTGTAACTGAAAACGTCCTAGCGAAACTGGCAGAAGGGTTAATGTGGCTTTGTTTAAGGATACAGTCGAGAGCATGAGTCTGACGTAGGATACTTTTTTGCCATAGATAGAATACAGTAATTCAAATGCAACAACTTCAACATAGAACTGATTGAAAACATGATTTGATTTATGAAGACATTGTTTGTTGGTTCAGAAGTATTTTACAAGAAATTGACTATAAAATATGAACTTAATTATTTGCAATTGATAGTAGGAAATCAAACTAAACAACTGCCATACAAAGTAGTCGTGAAACTCAGACGTCAATATAATTCTTTAGCTGTACTCACTGCAACACAAAAGGGTCTTTAAGTTGACGTGATTGACTGCATATTTGCGTTAACTTGGAGACAATGAGACAATACTTAATATGTTAGAGTATGAATGGATAACGATTTATTGTGATATGATTCATTAGCTTACACGCTCCGACGAGCTGTGACGTCACATCCTTGAAACAATACATTCGATCGGCAAGACATTAAAAAAGGGCACGTACAACCAGCGTCAAATACTAGATGACAATCAAGACGTTTGTAATAGGGATGACGACAGGGTAAAAAAAGAAATTCTATTTGACCGTCAGTCTGATAATAGAAAAATATTAAATACGTAATTTTTTTGCTTCAACTTAAACAAAAAATGGCTTGCAATTAGATAATAGGCATTAAAATTGAGGAGTGGGGGCTCGTTACGTCAGTTTTGTTAGAAAATGTACAAAAGCGCGACCTCGCATGCGACATTTAAACTTAATGAATTGCCGTAATTTTTTGGTTAAGCAAAAATAAAAAATATACGTATTTAATATACTACCAAACAAACAAAAAATTGTCGTTATCCCTATTATTGGAAAATGAATGTCCCCTCTTCAGTCGGTCAATCATTATTATCGAAAGTCTAGCATGTTATCAATATTACAGATATTTTTGAATTGTCTACTGGATTGTTTTTGGAAAAAATATTTTAAAACTTTCACGTGATTATATTAAAGTTAAACCAATACTAGATTTATTTTTCTCCAAAAAGTTCCATTAAATAAAGGAAAAACTGTCTTTAATTTTAATTGTCCCGCGAAAACATTTAGTCACGTGACATTTCGAGCTGTGCCGTCACATTTCAACAAACATGAGTATTGGTCGCACTCAAAACAAAGACGTTGACGTTTAGTTTATTGAAATGTGACGTCTCACTCCGTCCTGCAAGTCTAGCATGGTAAACTCGAGAAACGCTGTCCCTTTCTCGGGTCGAGAGTGAGATACTGTATGAGCGCCCCGAGAAAAGTGACATTAAAGTGTAGACAAAGCGTTTCTCGAGTTTACCATGCTACGCGTGCTGGTAACCTTTCGGTTCTTGCCATTCACAATCATAAATAGCACATTAAAATTGCATATTAAAATTACGTACAATTTATTTTAAAACAAAAATATAAGTTACCATTTCCTACATATTACATAATTTATATTTAAAACTGTCAAACAGCCAAATTTGAAAACTAAAGGTATTACAAAATTCAAGAATATCTGTTTGCTATTTAGAAAATTAGGATGATTGCATAGCTACCAAAATGTAAAGAAATTTTTAGAATAGTTAAAATCTGGGGTTGTTAACGTGCTGAATTGTCAGAATTATAATAAACACCAGTTTTCATTTGCAAGATGTAAAAAATTTCGTCCGCCTCCTTCAGCTGTGTTAGATATGAAATCTCAAAGAAGAATTCAATTACCTGTCAATGATATGCGGCAGTACGGTTGGCACGTAATGCGAGAATTCTGGTCCCATACGTTCCGCCAGCCCTGCTAGTACTTCCAGCCCATTTTGGGCTATCTAAAAACAGAAATAAAACATTACTACTAAAGACTGTCCCTATATATATTCTATATTTATCTTGATTGGTACGGTATTTAATAAATTATTCGCAACCTATTATATTTACAACTTACTCCGCTACATAACTTGTGTCGTGGTTAGCGCATTCAGGCTGAGATGCAGAGGTTAAGTAAATTACGTAAGGGTCGGCCAAGGGACGAGTAACTAAAATTTTATAATACCTAGCTTAGTCGTAGCCGTTTTCTAAGACACGTTCAATCTAGGGCATGTAATATCAGAGTTTTGAATTATTATTCGATATTTTGATACTTGTTTGTTTTCTATTAAACACAAATAGTAAATAATCTGATTCCGATATGGAACTCCATCCAAAATGAAGGCCTGTTCCAGAAAACTCATAGCCTAATGATGGTGATATTAAAAGTATTAGCGATATCCGTACGACAATACGTTGGAAAGTTATTAAGTTTATCGCGTTCCAACAGAGAGAGGCATCGGGTAGTAAACTTCGTTTTGTAACATAATAGATATCAAAAGATTGCTAGCGAGTGAAGTTAAGGCGGGTCGTATAAATTCTATCTATAAAAGCGACAATGTTCTATAAATAATTTCATTCCAGGCCAGACTAGACTTCCTCTTCTATCCATCCATAGAGTTATTGCGTCAAGATTCAATGACCTCCACATAAAAACGTATAGCATAATGACTGAAGTCTCAAAATCGACTTTCGGTCGGATAAACATGTGATAAAATATTTGCGTATCACAACGTACATAGGAATGTGCGAGTAGGACTCGCTTTTAGTCGCTTATTAAGTTTCCCAATAAATTGACAATAAGAAATATTGAATTTTATATTCAATACAATTTTGAAAGAATAATCTCTTTATTCACGTAACTTCATTATCGTTTCAAGCTTTTACAATGAATAATGTTTGTATTGTATTTTAATGCCATTGTAAATAGCCCTTTGCTTATTAATGTACATATGTATAATATACACGATTAGAATAATTAGGTTACGCAAAAAAAATATTAACTCCTTCCATAACAGTCGATTAAAAATAAATAATTTGGTAAAAGTCTAAACAAGCGTTCCACTCCGTATTCGTGTCAATTTACACGGCAATATATAGGGTAAACCGTATAGCTATTGCCCACTTAAGGACTTCAAACACTTTGGCTTCAAACAATAAAAAAAGTATTATAACTTTCAACCATTTATTATTTTTTTCTTATATCTAAATAAAATCTCCATCAAAGTGTTAACGGTTTTTAGTCAATACTTACATGGCTTAGAAAATAATTAAACAAATTTAAAATTATCTAAAAATGTACAGTTATTGCCCATTGCTTACACTAATTGCCCACATCACAGCATAGTAATTGCCCAGTACCTTAAAATGATAAATTAGACTTTGAACTTTAATAAAACAATCAAAACAAAACGTTAAACTTAAATCTACTACAATATCTTAAAATAAATTGCGTTTGGCTTTATTAACCATATCAAACATTTCTTTCGCTGATGTTGAAGAGTCAGAATCGTCACAATTAGAATCATCTACTTCAAAACAACGATGACACAAAAATAAATGTAAATCGGAGTAGTTTGGTATATGACATTTCTTTACTTTCTATGCCTATTTCTTTTTCTATCTTCTTTGGTGTCGGTTCGAGTTGTTGCTCAAAAGGTTCAATCAGTTGTTGGCTATTATCCTCTAAACTCTTATCTATTTCCTTAGATTTAACAGGCTCACTAACTTTTTTTGACTTTTTGTTTGCATTTTCAGTCTTTTTCTTTTCATTGATCAACTTTTTCTCTTCTTTTACTTTCAACAGATTTTCTTTTTCTTTTTGCTTCATATGTAATGCTGCTTTTTGTCAATATAATTGCGTGTGTGTGGCAAAAATATTGACAATATTACATAGTCAAAAAAATATTGACAATATTATTGCGCATGTGCAAGCCATTAAGCTAATAAATGTGACGGTAACATTACTTACTTAATCAAAAAATTACCGATAATGATTGCCCTGGGCAATAACTATAGATATTAACCATGGCAATCACTAAAATTATGGTGGGCAATAACTAAAAATATGCCGAAATACGTACAGCAATTGCCCACCGTTAAAAAACCGTTGAATCTAATCTGATTTCAAATATTTTCATTAAAAACATAACATAACACTTATGATTTCGTCATAACCATACACCAATAATGAAATATCAAATAAAATGCAAAAAAAAATAACCTCAAAGCAAGTAATTCCTTAAGAAAATTGCTAAAATGCTTACCTGTTTGAGTAACACGTTCACCCGTCTTGACAAAATCCGCCATTACTGTTTTTTTCTTTAGTGTTGCTACTTGTCAATTTTAAAATCTACTATAAATTGACCATAGAATAATCTAGTAAATTATATTCGAAACAAGTGAGAGCACAACCTTTGATTCAGATATTTTTTCTAAAAACGGGCAATCACTGCCTGTGGGCAATTACTCTCTGGTTTACCCTATGTAATAATAAGAGAGCTTGCGTGTTCTATAATTGCAGGAGTTGAGTAATTTTTCTTAAAGGTAGATTGACGGATGGGTGACCAAAAGAACACAATCGAATCTCCCCTATAGATTAATGTTATTATAGATTATTGTAAAAATGCTGCATATTTCACTTGGCTACAAAGAAGTATTACATATTTATCAATTTTCCCTTTAAAATATACCACTTTTAATATGAAAATAAATGGAAAATATTGAAAGTTTTAGGGTAGCTTTATGATATTTTTCCATTCATACAATTTCATAAATTTACGCTTTGAATGTGACAGAATCCTTAAAAAATATGATCTATTTTCTTTTTCTTAATTATAACTTATTTGAACAATATTATTTTGTACAAAGCCAGGCGAAAGTTAGCCATTTTGGATTACTGTCAAGTGGTGGTTCTGGCTGCATAGGTAATTAGGTATGCAGTCACGTCAAGTATGTAGTCCATTCTTCTTCCAAAAGGAATTCCTTCACCACAACATTGGGCACATTTAATAGGTTGGTGACGATGAAATAAAACAACGACATACCACTATATACATTCGCGAATTCCAACAAAATTGATCTTTAAACACTACAAATGTGTCGGATGACTAATTCTCAAAGTCCTAAAAATACTATCAATATGTTGAATCGATATTAAACAAGACAATATAGGCACTACGTACTCGTAAAATACTGCGATATATTGTAGCACCCAATCTGTACCGCGGGAAGAACAAAACTGATGTTCATACATGCTAATATTACACACTTACGATCCTTATTCTGAAAACTATACCGTTCTAATACCCTACGATATCGCTAATATAATTTTTATTTTCGTTTCGAATTCCGGATGAGAGAACGACGAATACAATTAGAAAGTGGAATGATTTAGTAGCCATAGTTGGCCAAGGCACATCATTCATGATCAAATTGATAAAAAATCACTCTTGGATTTACTAATTTGCAAATTTTCCTGTATTACAAATTAAGATAGATACTTACAGGAAAGGTTTTCAACGGCGACAAATCTGCTCGGGTCCTTAACTCATGTAACATTACATTTAGCTTACCACATGGCGCTAACTATGGAAATTATGTATTAATTATTTTTTGATATCGGTACATTTATTTCTAATTCAGTGAAGTTCAAATCATTTCTGACTAAGACTGCGGTTGTGCTCGTTTAACTCTAATGCTGTCGATATTTTTAAAAATACACATTTACAAAGTGGCGTAAAATCCAACAATAAAATTTGAATATAAGTACATAAGTCATGGTTTAAACGATTATTTACACTCTTACGCTGTTTTTATAGTTCGTAAAGGGGAAAGCATTGATAGCCTCTACAAAGATTTAGCAGTTTCCTTTTCGTAATTAAATAAATTCAATTTCTGATAGTTTGAACAAGTATTTTAGTCTCAAACTGAGCAGAAGGAAACTTTTAAAATTCGACGGATTCTTCTCTATTCGCTGGCACTTCTGCTAGCAATTCGAAAAAAGGATCGAGATAAAATAGTTACACATTTGATTATGCATATTACAACCAATAAACCCCTTTTTGAGTTAACTCGAATATTCGCTATTCCTTTGGTTAAGCCAATAGTAAATAAGTATTTAAATACGTAGGAAAGGTAAATAAGCCTTATTACCATAACATCAAGGTCAAAATCTGTAAGTGCCGTTATTCCGGGGGACGTGAGCAGACTTTACGAATGTTACGACCGTTTGGTATGTCAATGGCACAAGACGTGCTTGTTTATTTGAACAATACATGATGCGTGCTGAGCATTGAGTCTGCAATGGGAGCATCTTGGAGAGTTCAAGGCACGCTTTTTAACGTCGCCGTTAAAAATATCAAGGGAGTAGAAAGAGCTCAAGAAAACACTAATACATCGTGCATGTATTTCATAATATGTATTTATAAAATATCCTAGCCTCTAGTGAAAACTACATAGAATCCGTTGCGCAGTTAAGAGGGAATTTAAGCGTTGATTTACATCTGGTACGACGTTATTTTATTATTACCTTTATGTTGTAATTAAACTCTTTTATTTGAGGAAAAATTAATGAAAATGAAAAATATTTGAGTCACTTTGCAGTTGAGGGAGCTATGCAGCACCTATAAAATAATCATAATACTTTACAAGTAATTACCTAACCAAAAACCGTTTATGTCGCGCAATCCACCAGCTTCTGTGCCTATCCATTTGACTGTGGGCGCAATGACTATCTCTTAAGTGTTAAGCCAAAATATAGACAGTATTTTGACTTAACACCCATTCTCTTAAGCTAATCGGACATGATAAGCTCGTTTCGCAGCGGGTTTCAGTCATATATATATACTATTTAATATTTTGAGTTGTTCGGAATACGTCTGCGCGCGCGCAATGATGTGTGTCGCCGAGGCGGCGTGTAACGGCCGCGGAATCAGACTGTGCATGATAAACTTCTCTTAATAAGTATTGTATGCGATATGCACAGGGATATATAAAAATGTGCATAAGAATAACTGAATATTATAAATTATTTGTACGCAATGAGCTAATATTTGTAGGTCTTTTAATTAATAATTTTCATTATTATGTTTTATAAATTTTACATTCACGATGTTATATTTATTGTTAGAATGACAATTGATTAAACATAATATTGGAACCAATTTTCATTTTAATCGTAAAAGATCCAGGCAATCCACCAAAACGGCCGAAATTTTTTTTTTTACTATAATTTAAATATATTTACTAGGCTGTTTTGGTGGATCGCCTAGGTAGGTTTACTTGGGCCTGGTGATTTTTGTAAGCATTTTTATTAAAGATTCAATGAAAAATGCTTAAACTAGTCCTTAAAATTTAATGTACTTAGAAGAACAACAACGAAGGATTTTCCTTGTTAAATATAGAATTTAGAAAGTAAAAAATAGTTTATAGACCACACGTACGTATTTACATGCAACAGAAAAGCTATAAGTAGAGTCCTCATTGAGTCTTCAATTGTACTGATCTCCGTGCGACACTTAAACAACATGGAGGGCAAGTCTACCCAACTCGCAAAAAAAACCTATAAACAATTAACAAGATCGAAAAACAATCGTATAACAGATCCCATTATTCCATATACTTGTATAAAAGCTCTCTTGATTTTTTAGCATTGCCCACCTTTTAGCTCTATAAAAATGTTGACTAAACATGGACTCGACGTGTTTACATCGCATTTATTCGATATTTGTAAAAAGGGATATCATGATCGCCTTCATTCAACGGCAAGCCTTACGATAACTCTTTAAAAGCTACTGAATTGCTAATTTGTCATCAAACTAGCTTTTATAAAACTATCTTTCGACTATTGATTATTGCAACATTATTGTAGAGTAAAAGCTGTTTATTAGACAAAATAACATTTCGGTTACTATATCAAGACTTAAGGTCGTACGATAGCTATCATGAAATAGAATGAAAGTTGAGTAAAAAGCTTTTTACTCAACTTTCATTCTACTTAACTAATGATGTTGAGTAAAAGCTTTCAAAATGTCTCTCATAGCTTTAAAAGTTCTCTAAACATAGTTTTGGGCAAATATTAAAGAAAGGGCACTACAATTCAATATTCCACATAATGCCTTACGAAAACGGTCAACAATATGTAATACTACTCTGCCAAGAGTGGAAAAAGATCAATAATACACAAACTGTTTGTTCAATAACACCGAAAACGGGTGCCACGAAGTGGTAATTTAAGTTTAGGAAAAAGAAAGAAGTCGGCTGGAGCCATATCTGGTGAATATGGTGGTTGCTCGATGGTATTTGTTGAGTGTTTGCTCAAAAAATTCGTTTAAAATATGGCCTTGTGCGAAGGCATTATCGGGGTGCAAATTTCAAGAATTTTCTTTCCACAAATCAGGCCATTTTCATAAAATTTGCTCTCGCCGCATAATGCTTAAATAATATTTCTTATTTACAGTTTGACCTTCCGGCAAGAATTCCGAGTGCACAACACCGCGATAAAACATTTTTTATCCGTGGTTGGTAATAAGGCAACTCCTGAGGATGCTTCGTGGTGGGGCGAAACACGTGTAGATAATAGTCAATGGTGGGTGAGATTCGTTGCCACTAGTGCAATTGAAAATTTTCAACTATTAACTGATTGTAGGTAGAAGTTGCTAAACATCTCTACATAGTATTAAACAAAGTCGCTTTCTCTGTCCCTATATCTCTATGTATGATTAAATCTTTAAAACTACTGTAACGGATTTCTCCTTTATTTTGGTTTGAGAAGAAAAAAAATTAAGAAATATAAACTGTGTACAATTTATTTATAAATGAAGTTTTTTTTGAGATAACAATTTTATACAAATTACCAATTACCAATAACAAATTACCAATTACAAATTACCAGTTACAAATTACCAATTACAAATTACCAATTACCCCCTTAAAGTAAAAAAAAAACATAAGGGTATATTTTGACCTTGGCTTCGCTGGTTCATATAAATTACAAATTAACAATTGCCCCCTTAAAGTAAAAAAAATAAAAGGGTTTATCGACCTTGGCTTCGCTACCGTACTCAGAAGGAGTACGGCAACACAACAAACCGGGGGCTGTCTGTTGTCCTACGGTCTCACTGTCCAGCGTTATAATTCGTAGACATAAAATAATATTTATAACACTTAATGCTACTAAACACAATAATATTTGGGCACAGCTCAATGTTCAGCTTGTCTTTTGTTTAAATAAATTTAATAAAATTTCATCCACCTCAACAGCGAAACAATCAGGTCTTCCTTTTTATTCAGCTTTGTAATGTAGGTGGGTCAAACCACAGATACCCATCCACATGGAGCGATATAGCATTTACATACGGTTACTGGTGGTACCGTCAACCTGTATCGGACAACTTGCACCAGGCAGCCAGTACAATACAGCCAGTACCAGACAGTCAGGATAATACAGCCAGTACCAGACAACCAGTACAATACAGCCAGTACCAGACAGCCTCTCGGTTTGAGAGGCGAAAAATTGTAAAAAACACTTATGCGACCGGCGCCCACAAATCCGTAGCACTGCTCGGCCTTCCTGCTTCAAAATCACCACGAATGGAAGCCCACGTATTTAACAAAACGAGCCGAGACACGGTAGACTTGTAGATTCCTCTTCACTCTTAGATGATCAGCAGAATAAAAGGAAAGACAAAGCCGGGTTCCGACTTAAATACGATTTCCATTTCCACTCGACTCAAGCGACCTGAACAGCTGTTAAATGAAGCAACTCCGTTTCACGGACAACACATAATGGCTAAAATTTTCATCTTTAAAAATTTATTAGGAAAAATACATAAATAAAATATTTATGTTTTATTGAATTGAAAATAAAATTATAGGACACATGCAAATATGCATGAAAAAACTGACAAAACCCTGCATACAAAGGAATATAACTAGGTGACAACTTCACACTATTGCTTTATTTTCTTAATTCAACGTTCTAAAACCTGAAGTCTGATTTAATAATTTTGTTATAAAAATGAGTTTTCTAAATAGCTGTTTATTGTATTCTTAATGAATTTATTGTATTCTATAAAAGGAGATCATATACTACTTATTTGTTACTAAAAATTGGGAAAAGAAATTTAATTTGGAAGAAAATATAAATATGTAAAGGTAAATTCTAAGGTTAATTACGGCTTTCGGAACGTACACCAAGTGTCAAAATAAATGCTTTGGTGTTTTGTAAACAATAGGTTCAATTTTATTTTGTAAAATTAATAAGGTTATCTCTAATGGAAGCAAATGAGAAAATAGTTAAAGTTATAATTTTAAGACAAACTAATGGTTCTATTTTGTATCTTGGTGGTTGATAGATTGGTACATACGAGTGGAAGATTGTCACCGGTTAAGGAATAATGAAATTAGATTAGTGAAAACAATTTTTATGCCCTAATGGCTTTACCAGAAAAATATGGTAAGTTGACATCCTCAAAACAATGTTTAGAAATCACAATATATTTGAACATTACCAGAAAAGACTAATAAAATGTTGTGAAAGTTAAAATAAAACAACATCAAATTTTCCAGTGTTACACTACGACATTTTTGATGCGGTTTTTTTTTCATAGGAAGGTCTTTATGTATAATACAAGACCACTTGCTAGCTAGTTACTGCTAGAACAATTAATGCAATAGACTTTCAAAAGATAAGGCTTTTTTGTTAATCTTCAGCATATGCACACTGCTGAGGCACGGGTCTTCTAAATGGATAGTTACAGGAAAATTGGACCAGACCCATCATTCGCGGATCCACTGTCAATTAAATGTATTAACGATTGGAGACGCAACCGAGACCAAAGGGAGCCCAAGATACGTCAATTTTGTTAACCCACCCTATGGAAAGCCTTTTGGACGGCGCCTAACTTTCAAAATTTCGCTAGTCACTGCGTTGCCCAGTTGCTTACTGATGCTTGATTTTAAATATTTGTTTATATCACCTTGAAGTTTCCACCGTTCAGCCATGAGACCAGCGCGTCCAACAGCTGAGCTGCCAGCTCATGCGTGATCTCCGGCTCCTTGCGTACGAGCACCGTTAGCTGCTCGCCGAGCTGCTGCCGTAATCGAAGGTCCGGCCTGCTGAGGAGGGGTAACGCGGCCTCCAACGAGGCCGGTTGAGGATAATGCGCCATCTGATGGAGAGAGATTAAAACAAACAATCAATAAAAATAATAAGAAAGTATGAAAGTATCTAACTTTTCTTCTTTGTTGTTTGTAGCGGGGTAATCTTCTGAAACATTGATCAGATAACGAAAATTCGATCACCTACGAGAAGCTACATCATACCCAGTTGCAATAGGTTATAATACGCGCACAAAGAAAACGCTAAAGGAACAAATGTGACCGGATATAGAAGTATATTTATCGGATAAGCTACTAGAACAAGAAAGTGGACAAATTACGAATGTTCTATATAGAATTAAATGACGGGAAAGACGTAAAGTTTAATTAACTTACATGTAATATTCAGATTGCTACCTTATTAATAGGATTCATTTATTAAATCATGTATACAATAGCTCAACTCTTGACCTATGAGTATCATCTTACGTAACGAAACCTTGACACAACAAAAACGTATAGATTCGATTAATTACGTCTCAACCAACAAACTTCGTAAAGTAAACATTGCCACTTTCTCATTCATTATCTATTAATAAACTGTTTAGAATTAGTACAATGGGGATTTATTGCAAAATAAATACACTTTAATTGAAGACAACTGAGCTTCAGCATATCATGCAAATAAATAAGTCAAGGGTAACAAATTACAAGAATATCAACGCGCCATATATGAGACAGTCAATGTTGAATCCACATTTTGGAAACATAGCACACATTCATCAGACATATTATTCTCACTCACGATTGCGAGTTATAAAGAGAATTTACAAATGATGGCTATGTCAGATGCATGTAAGCAAAAGACATACTGCGCCAAGCACAAGTAAAATTGGGAACGGGGCAGGCTAAAAGGCGGTTATGTTGTAAATCTTACTGGGTCTTCTTTTCGACATCATCAATAATATGTTCCTATTCTAGGGACTAATTTATGAATAGAACCATATAATGGGGAAACCCTCTAAACGGACTCAATAAGAATTAGATCCTGTACTGTTCGCTCATACTTCCGATCACCGGTTTTTGGAAGTTGCTTAAAACGCTAAATCAGTGGTTCTTAACACTTTTGTTGGAAATACATAGATATAAAAATTGATACAGATCTACTCATCCCTACTTAACATAAGGTAATATTTAAAGTTTTCCCTTCTGTGGATGCATCTTGGGTTCATTAAAATTTAAAAAAATCTTTAGACCTTTACTTAGACACTACTTTTTGCTGCTGTTTAGCGATGCTTCGTTATGCAGTGTGCATATAGATCACGGGGACAAGCAGAAGTTTCAAGCGGGTAAATATATTCGAAATTAGACCGCTGCAAAGAAGCAACGTCTAAATGGGACCTAGCTAAATATTCTTTTCAACGATTGAGCAGCTACTTAAAAAATTAAAGATATACTCACTCTTTAGCAGAGTCGCTCTTTGATCGAACAATCCCAGTTTGAATCGTAAAAAAGAGTCCAGAGCGGATTCCCTCTCATTGCAATCACTGTACACCACTAAGTCACGTCAGCACTAACACTAGATGATCACAGACACTACGGCATTCAGGCACTGGTAGATTTGTCACATAGTTTTTTCTTGCGCCACTAAAATTGGAATTCCAAATCAAAATTCAATATCAGCCAAGAAGAATGCTAAAGAGCATCAATCTTGATTAATTTTGAACTTCTGAAGTGTGTATGCGTGTTGTTGAAGGAAGAGCGTATATAAAGAGATAAGGTCAACGACAAAACAGAAAGAATTTAGAATATCTACACCACCATTGTACAGTCAACAACATCTCAAGTTGCTATAAAAGGCCAAACCCCAATCGACTAGTCGCAGTCTGTTGAAAGTAATGTCCATAATTTATTGTATGCATTTGTATCTGATATGATGCTGAATACAAGCTGAGTACTAGGATCTAGGTCTTCAAGAGTGTTAACATACAATCACCACCACTAGTGTACTTTAATACATACGAACTTACGCACACATATAAAGAGTATGACACATGGTAGATAATTGTGCATAGTTGTTTGTTAGACTCATATTGGTCATCTGAAACCATAGCGTGCACTGTTCAGTGTGCCTCCGTTATCCAAACTCAAACTAGTTACAAATCCATATTGGATTGTTTATGTAGTTGGATAAAGATGCGATTATGTATTAATACTAATATCTGCTCATTTATAAAGCCTAAAAGCTTCAATGCATCTTAAATCTATATATAAATCGGTAGTCCTACTTATTTATAAGTTTGGATGTACTGTCACAATAAACATTTTTTTTATTATTTATCTCTTCACAAGAACAAATATTCGGATTTTGAAGAATCATGCCACAAATAAGATTTCTTATTATTTGTTTGAATCAAATAAACAATAACCGAATTCCATGCTGGCAAAGCAGCGGGCGGGAAGCTAGTAGACTATAATTTGCGCGGGTGAAGTTGCGGGAATCAGCTAGTAGTCCATAAAGCTTGGATTTACTCATTGAGATTCCCTAAGGATTTGGAAATGAAAATAGTGGTTTGTATAGTGTAATTTCTAGATCCGTTACACAGAAATAATTCTAAATACATACAATATGTTCGGACCATTTATCTTTCAATGTTGATACCATAAAATATTTGTACCAATGGAAGCAAACCCGTCACCTTATTTTTTAGAGCTATCAATCACTCTGCTCCAAATGTAATACGGTATTGATGCATTGTAAGATTTACGAGAGCAATAACTGGTAGATAAAAATACACCTTTGATGGCTATTTAACCCACTCCCAGACGAGTCCTAATAATTGTACTGGTTACGAAATTTGAATCTTCTAGACCAAGTTTATTGGTAAATTAAATGACACAGTATACATGCAGAAGACTTGATATACTAAAAAAAAACTATCTTTTTAGCTTTTAGCAATTTGATTTTAGTCTAATGCTTTTATAATTTGTAATCAATAGTTCTAGTTTCTATAATTTATTAGATGTTCGGTACTCTTAGTTTTGTTTATTAAATATTGATATTACCTATTTCCTGTTCTGACCAGATAAAATGTTTTCTGCTCAAAATATCGGCTTTTTTCTTTTATTTTCGTTTAGTTAGCCCATAGATCGCTTTCTCTGTTTTATTTGAACTTTACTTCTCTGAATCTTTATAAACCGGTGTTTTTCGAAAGGTTGGCAAGTCCTGCCTATAAATTACATTGTAGGCTGAAACCTATATTAAATATAGGTGACAACAATTTGTGTCAATTGCAATGCCATTTCGCGATCGGGAAGGTCAATTGAGTTTATGGCGCGATGATGTCATATAGCCGATAAACTCACACGGTAAATTGTGTTAAAATTCTCTATTTAGATTACAAATATTAACTAATAATACTATATTTAAAGCTAAGGTAACTTTGTTACGCGAAAACGGTTAAATTGTTTGGTGGATTAGGATTAAATTTGGTATAGATGTACTAAAAAGGCCAGATAATATGAATGTTAAAGATTCTATGCAAACGAAGTTGGGGTGGGGGTAGAAGCTAGTGTAGAATTAACAAGCCTTTTATTTATTTGCCATTAGTTTAATATATTACTAAGCACACCTAGTTAAAAACATTGATCAATGGATTGACATATCCACGAATTGAAAACGAGAAACTTATTTTATTCATAAGGGTTTTGTCACAGTCTTAACTTGAAGCTATTTTCTTGAAGTTATAAGAAGATATAAAATGAAATCCAAAAAAAGAGCTAAAATTCCCATTTTTTCTATTAAGGGCGTTTATTCCATTGCATGCTGTTTGGGGCAATTTCCGTACTTATAAAGCGTCTTATTAGTAATGAAAGACTTACTCAAAAAATCTTAAATATTTTACTTTTATTAATATTATTATTATTAATATTTTGTTTCGAGAAAATTTAACTTGTACAAGATAATATAAATACACAAACAAAACAACGGAACGCTGTTTTCTAAATTTCAATATCAGTATCAAGTTTAAAGTTCAAAATGTCCTATATTACCAACTAATCTTAAAATTAAAATCTTATTACTCAGCTCCTGGACAATACACTCGTAGCTATCAAATAGTCTTTTTTCTAAATGATTCATCACACCACCAGCCCTTTTTACGTCCCCACTGCAGGGGCTCAGGCCTTCCTTATGGATGGTTAAGGAGGATGGGCCATGACCCTCCACGCTGGCCCAATGCGGATTGGAGGGTATTAACGACTGCAAATGCTGCCGGGACCAACGGCTTAACGTGCCTTCCGAAGCACGGAGTAGCTCGAGATAATAATTTTTTGGTCACCCATCCCGTGACCGACCCTTGCGAAAGTTGCTTAACGACTACGATCGCGGGCCGCGGCGCTTATCCACTACGCCACCGAGTTACTAAACTAAATTTTAAACCAAGTAAAATTATAAAAACTTCCTGAAATAAACGAATCCTGTTTTATTTACACTATAATAATAATTTACACTTAAAAAATGTTCTTTCAAATTAAAGTTACAAATTAATAATCATAATTATTTCTAATAATTTTTTTAAAAACTGTAGCTGCTTCACATCAGTTCGCCGTCAGGCGTTGTCAAGGTCGATTTGCTCTTCGGCTCTTCGTTTGAACGAGATTTGTATCTTCCTGCCTGGGCTTCATAGCAATTTTACCATAGAAATTGGAAGGGTTTTTAAAATAACAATGCTAGTTAAAAAAGTTATAGAATAATAACAGCTGTCATTTAAAAGTTGCGCAACATGCAATGCAACCATGGTATAATGATATTCTCACAATTATACATTTTGAAAGCATGTGAAAAAGTTTCATCTTGGTAAGTAATTTAAGCTTATATAACATATTGAGTGACCAATAAATTATTATCTTGAGCTACTCCGTGCTTCGGAAGGCACGTTAAGCCGTTGGTCCCGGCTGCATTTGCAGTCGTTAATACCCTCCAATCCGCATTGGGCCAGCGTGGAGGGTCATGGCCCTTAACCATCCATAAGGAAGGCCTGAGCCCCTGCAGTGGGGACGTAAAAGGGCT